ATAAACATACATGATATTAAACAGTGAAAACAAATCCAAATATGTTTCAAACTTGCACGGTATTCACCCAAGTCATTATTCTATCATAGTTCACAAAATGCCTCAGATAACATTCCAGAAGTAAGCACTTATATAAATATTTAAAAGGACAACATATATGTTTAGTACAGGTTCAAGGACAACATAAAGAGTAGTAGTTTATTCTTGAAACTTAAATTTGCAACACTGTGAAGTTAGTATTTGTCTTTGTTTTTTGGTTGAGGTAATGCAATTCATTCAAGATTCAATTTGTAGAAGAAGAATAGTTTCTGAAACTTAAAAGCGCAACGCGAAAATGAAAATCGAAACGCAAAAATGAAAATCGCAACGCGAAACTAAAATCGCGTTGCGATTTTCATTTTCGTGTTGCGAATTTAAGTTTCAAATAGTCTTCTGCAAATTGAAACTTGAATGAATTGCATTACTTCATCCAAAAGACAAAACAAAGACAAATACTAACTTCACAGTGTTAAAGACTAAACAGTTTAGCAGTATTGACAGCAACCGAATGAATTTACTAAGCAATCTAAGTGAAATGGTTAATCTATTATTGAAATTACTAGTAAATTTATCATAAATTTAAATATGAAAAATCTAATAATAATACAAAAATTTCAAAATAAAAATAATTAAAAAAACTAACCCTCAGTGGTTGATTTTCTATTTCTGACCGTGAATGGTTGTGAGGGTGACTCTGAGAGATGGAGATAGACGGATTTCGTCGGAGATGGGGACGGATTTTGTCGGAGATGGGGACGGATGTCGCCGTAAAGAGTGAGAGATTGAGATGAGACTGAGTTGTGATTTAGGGTTTTAGGTTATGATTTGCAATTATATTGTTTACATTTGTGTTGCGAAATTAATATTGTGTTTCGAATTCGAAAATAAAATTTGACTTGCGAAATTAAACGCGCTTTGCAAATTTGACTTTTGTGTTGCGAATTTGACTTATGTGTTGAGAATTACAAATTCGCGTTGTGATTTACAGATTCGCGTTGCGATTTACAGATTCGCATTGCGAATTTGGAAACTGAGTTGCGAAATTAGAGTTCGCGTTGCGAATTTATTGGTCATTTTCGCAAATCCAAAAAAAAGTTGGTTAAAATCGTATATAATAAGGCATTTTCGGTCACTGAAATTATTTTCTCTAAAAAATATCCAAATTACAATAAGAATTTATAATTATAATATTAAATTAAACACATAATAAGAATATTTTTCCCATAGTCATTAATACAAGAAAACTAGTCTCTTAATATTACACAAGAACTATAAAGGAAAATGTTAAAAACCTAACCAATTAAACTCGAACAAAAGTAAATACGAACAGATCTGACCACATTAACAAATAAATCACAAAAGGTGATTAAGTTAATGAAAGACTACCGACAAACTATAAATCAGAGTCGAACGACATGAAAAAACTATCCATGAGAGCAAATTACGTATCCAAATCCAATTTGATGGTCTAAAGCATAAATTATCAACATAATAACAAATAAGCATCATCTTGATCAGTTATAGCGATTTCAATATCAATTATAAAATAAATAAATAAAAACAACGTCGAAATAATTAAATAAGACACAATTTCAAGCTTATTCTATATACTTATATTATAATTTGAAATCTTTCTTAAACTTAATAATTGAAGTGGATTTTAGACTCTATATTAGGACGCTCCTCCTATGAATCGAGTAGTGTTGGAGTAATTGTATTTCTGAAAATTTTACTTTTTTTATATAATATATATATATATATATATATTATTTTTTATTAAATATTAATGTTAGATTATGAAATTTTATAGTTTTACGCTCTTAACTTTTAATATTACTTCTTAAAAATGTTTTTTTTACATAAAATTTTATGTTCATTCATACCTTCTAATACGTTGTTTACCTCCCCCAAACAAATTTCTTTATCACCCAATGTTTTAATTTATCTTTTTTTTATCACTGAATTTTACTTCAGTCGATATCATTATTATTGTAGCAACATAAAAATGAAAAGAATAAACTACTCAAATAATCACTAAACTATTGGACTAAAAATGTTTTCAATCATATCATTTAATAAATTAAATGATATCAATTAAGTTACTAAACGTTCATTTTTAGGAGAATGTATAAGTAATAAATATCAAATGTGTAATTATAAATTTATTTAATTATCACTTCAATTTTCTATTAAAAGTTAACTGTCAATAACTTAACTAATACTATTTAAATAGTTATATTAGGTGACTATTAATATAGTTTATCATTTTTACTTTAGATTTGAATTTAAAACTTTTTTGACAAGATAAAAGTCGTTAGTTTTATTAAAAATAAAAAAAACATCTAAAATACAATGAAGGTTTACCACTTTAACCGTAAACTAAACACATAATAAGGACATTTTCCTATAATCATTAACACAAAAAACTAGCCTTTTAAGATCATACAATGATCAAATACAAGGAAAAAGTTTAAAAAAACTTAACAAACTAAACTCGTATGATCGCTTTAATCAATGTCACGGGGGAGAAGCTCTATTGGGGCCTAAAGGGGCTCCGACCCCTGTTAAAATTTATTATATTCGATATAATTTTAGTCTAATAGTATTTCTGTTCATGTAAAAATAAATATTTAAATTAAAAATATAAGAATTTATTAAATATTTAATCGAGTAGGGGCCGAACTAAAAAATGATAACCTCATGTTTTCAAATTTTTGATCTAGTAACAATTTAAGTCATTTTAAGTTTAAATATTAGACAAATTAGGTGTTGTCTTGTGATTTTTGAGTTTTTTTTATATAGATCTGGGGTGAATGCAAAGTATTATTGTACAAAACTCTCAACCATTTGACAATAAACGCTCGTACTTTTACATACGCAATGCTCAAACTCGGGACCTCAAGGATAACAACAATCCTTTAATCACTAAGGTTGTTTGGTTTGTGTTGAATTTTGAGTATGAATATCTAATAAATCATTTTATTTTTCTTAAGTATTCTAATATTCCGGCTCAACGACCCCTGTCAATATCTAATCCCGACTCAGTCCCTGAATATCATATATAGTTTTATATTAAAAATACTATATATAATTTAATATAAAAATTTGAGAAAAAGGAATAATACATGATAAAATCTATATATAACTTCAACTATTTGATCATGTCTATATTTAAGATTTGCTAATAAACCATCTCCAATACGTTTTCAATTTTTGCATATTAATGTAGGACGAAAAGGTTGACTGTTCAATAATATTGTTAATATGTGAATCATGTGATGCATGCATCTGCGTCCGACATAAACCATTACCTATGTATATATATATATATATGGATTGGAAATGTTATCATTTTCGAAGATTTTTGTACTATATATGCCATTCAATCAAGTAGCAGTACTATAGCAAAGACGAAACTTTAGGCAGACCTCTTGAAGCAAATCATCTTAAATTCTTAATCATTTTCATAATTTAATATTATATAAGTATAAAAGATGAATATTAGGGATTTTGATTTTATCTAATTTTATAAAATCAATTTTCAAAATTTAGATTCGAGACTAATTTTGTGAAGTTGAATTTAAGATAAAAAAAATCATTTTGATATGATATAGATAATTATTATAATACCCTTATATATCAATTACCTCTCTATCTTGTTAGATTTTTTTTTTGGTATATGATTCAATGAAGACAAAATTTTACCCTAAAAATTTAGCTCGAGTTTAAAGGGTTCTAATCAAATATCATGGTGGATCAAGGTCGAAGAAACCCTTCAATTTTCATCCTTACATATAAATATATTTACTCTTGATCTAGCAACGAAATATATATTTTTAGTAATCAAATGAGATTATTGGTAAGATTCAAATTTTAATTTTTTTTAGAGCACTTATGAATAATCACCAACTAAATTATTGATTGTTATAAGAAGTTATATAAAAAAATATTTGAAAAGAATCTGTTTAACCAACCCTACCCATTGATGATTAAGTTAATGAAGTGTCTATTACATGATCAGTTGACATCAATATATATATATACATATATTGTGCCCAGCTTCTTGAAACAATGGTTTGATTAATTTGGTACTACTACTATTATTATAATTATAAGAACAGTGTCAAAGTGATCCTTGCATAGCCTTAGCCCCATTATTACTCCTCTCTCTTTTGCTTTCTTTTTTACATTATTGGTCACTCAAAAATGATCTTTGTCTATGCTTCTTTTTCCTTACTTTTTTTCTCACTTTGTTATCTGCAGGCCTCTCTCCCTTTCCTGCTGCTAGGGTTTCTATTGGTTCATAGTCATCTTCTTCACTGGAACAAAGTGAAACAAATTAAAAGGACTGCAAATCTTGAAAGAACTCGTTCATAAAATAGGTAACTTCAACTACAAACACTCTATTTAATTAATGCTTTTATACATACATTCTGATTCTTCTTCTGGTTTTTCACCCTTTCCTCTTTGGTTCATCGGAAGATCATAGATATACTTAAGGTCCGATCAAGCTCACAAGGAAATTTAAAACAAGTTTATATGTGTGTTTGTGTGTATGCTTCACATGAAAAAGAAAGAAAGATTGTCATGTTGGAAATTTAGATCATTGGGACGATTGGTTTGTTTCCATTTTATGCAACATGTTTGATAAAATTCAAGGAAGAATCACAGAATCTGTGCATGTTAATGTAATCATACATGCTGTTTTGTTTTTGACTTTTGTTTTGTTTGGGGGGTGGGGCTATAATTTTAAGATGAAAAATGTTTCTGACAGTGTGGTATTTAAATTCAAGAAAAGCTGCTTGACAGGTGAGAAAAAAGAAAAAGTTGTTTGAAAATAAAAATTGCAGAGATCCACAAAGTGTTTTCCTTTAAGCAATTTATGGACATAATCTGATGAATGAAAAGAGAGTTGTGATTGAAAACAGACAAATTATATCGCTTTTGATCCATGCAAACTATTTTTAGTAGCTGCAGAGAGAGAGAAATGGCTTCTTCTTCTTCCAGCTCTTCAAACTTCCCATGTGCAGCCTGCAAGTTCTTGAGGAGAAAATGCATGCCGTATTGCATTTTTGCACCATATTTCCCACCCGAAGAACCCCAGAAATTCTTCAATGTTCACAAAATATTCGGCGCAAGCAACGTTTGCAAACTGATCAACGAAGTAGCACCCCATCAAAGACAAGATGCGATCAACTCACTGGCGTACGAAGCCCAGGAGAGGTTGAAAGATCCCGTTTATGGCTGCGTCGGAGCCATCTCGGTTCTCCAGAGACAGGTGATGAGACTCCAAAGGGAATTGGACGCCATCCGTGCCGATTTAATCCGATACACCGCCGGCTCCTGCAATGAGATGCCGACGACGGTGGGAAGAAGTCGTTTCGATCATAATACCGGTAACTTTTACTATCCTAATTCTCAGTGGAATAGTGAACCTTATGGAGACAATGGAGGATCAGATGGTGGAAGCCTGTGATATTGCTGAAGCAGTATGTTGTAATTAAATAAGCAAAGAAGATTATTGGTGGGAACTGTGAAGTCCCCATCTGGGATTAGCTTTAGGGTTTTCTAGTAATGGAGTTTGCTAAAGTTCGTGTGTGATGATGGTATATATTGTGGTATTTTCATGTCATGCTGCCATTAATGATTAAACCTTGATGAAACTTTCATATATATATATATATGAAACATTTGATCGATGCAGTTGTTTTTTTGATGTATTTGTTCAAAGATTCTATATCTGAAGTTATGATAAAGTAGATTATATGTATTGATTTGATTCACGCAAAGCTTAAAGATCATGGTTTCTAGTTTTCCAAGCTAGCATTAAGGTTCATTTTCATGTCTTGCTTGAGTTTAAGCATCCTGGATATAGAAATTTGTTGGAAGCGTAGATGGGCTCACGATAATTTATAACACTCAAACTTTTTATTTATCCGAAACAAAATATGTTACAACGACACCCTCAATATTACAATACTGCAATACTAGTTGCGGCTAGTTTACAAACTCAAACTCACTATTTTAAGCTTTGCTAAGCTCTCTCAATTCTCTCTATTTTTTTCTCATATATTTTTCCTCACTTGTTACTCACGCACTACACACTCTTATTTTTATTTCACTCACTCACTCTTTTTTCTCTTATGTTATATGCTTGCTTTGCTCACACATATATATATATATATATATATATATATATATATATATATGAAATAAACCGACATATTGAGAACTAGATTCTTCTCAATTTCTCTATTATTGCCACCTCACTTGTTTGTCTTGTTTTGCTTCAAATTAAAAAATCTTGCCGACATATACTAGTGTGTTGAAACTTCTACATAATTCCAAAATGAGTTTGTCTTCTAACACTCCCCCTCAAACTCGATTTTCCATTCCAAGCTTTTCTTTGAGTCGATTGAATATATCTGCTCTCAATGGTTTTGTGAAAATATCTGCTAGTTGATCTTCAGTTCTGCAGTAAATTAGCTCCACATTTTTGTTCTTCACCTGCTCTCGTATAAAGTGATACTTTGTATCAATATGCTTGCTTCGGCTATGAGAGACTGGATTCTTCGCAAGAGAAATTGTAGACTTGTTGTCGACATAGATTGTAATTGGTTCTTCTTGTGCTACATTTAGCTCGTTCAAAATATTTTTTAACCACATTGCTTGGCAAGTGCACGCTGCTGCAGCTATGTATTATGCTTCACATGTTGAAAGAGCTACTGTTTGTTGCTTCTTTGATGACCATGAAAATACTGCAGAGCCGATATGAAATAGATATTCAGTTGTGCTTTTTCGATCGTCTAAGTCTCCCCCATAATCACTATCAGAATAACCAACCAGCTTCGAATTTTCTGAATACGTGTAGAATAAACCATGACCTGTTGTACCTTTGACATATCTGAGGATTCTTTTTGCTGCAATTCAATGATCTTGTTTCGGATGCTCCATGAATCTGCTTACCATTCTCACAGCATATGTTATGTCTGGTCGTGTGATAGTCAGATACCTTAGACTTCCAACAATGCTTTTAAACAACGTCAGATTCACTTGCTCTCTTGTTGAATTCACACTTAATTTGACTCCTGGTTCTGCTGGAGTGGCTACCGGCTTGCAATCTTCCATTCTGAATTTTCTTAAAATTTCTTCTGCATACTTCTTTTGTGATATAAATATTCCTTCTTGCATTTGCTTCACTTCAACTCCAAGGAAGCATGACTTTTCTCTAATATCTGTCATTTCAAATTCTTTAGTCATAGCTTTCTTAAAATCATTGAACATACCTGGATTATTTCCTGTGAAAATCATGTCGTCCACATATAAGCACATGATCATGATATCGCCGTCTTCATTTTTCTTTGTGTATAAAGCATGCTCGTATGGACTCTTCATTAACCCATTTCTCTGGAAATATTCATCAATTCTCTTGTTCCATGCTCTCGGGGCTTGCTTCAGACCATATAGTGCTTTCTTCAATCGGTAAACTTTGTCTTCATGTCCCTTTTTAATGTATCCAGGTGGTTGCTCAATATAAACTTCTTCTTCTAGGTAGCCATTTAGAAATGTTGACTTCACATCCATTTGATAAAATTTCCATCCTTTTTGTGTTGCAACTGCTGTGAGAAGTCTGATGGTCTCGATCCTTGCTACTGGAACAAATACTTCATCATAGTCTATTCCTTGTCTTTGATTATAGCCTTTGACAACTAGCCTCGCTTTGTGCTTCTCGACCTTTCCTTCTTTATTGGTCTTTGTCTTGTAAACCCATTTTACTCCAATTGGTAATGACCTTCTGGTTGTCTTGTTAGCTCCCATGTATCATTTCTTTCTATTGAAGCAATTTCTTCATCCATTGCATTTCTCCATTTGTCATATTCAACCGTTTCTTCGTATGTTATTGGATCACTATTCACAAGTAAGCAGAAAAGTGAAACATTATTTAGTTCATAATCGTTGTACCTTTCTGGCATTCTTTTCTCTCTTGTGGATCTTCGAAGTTCTGTGGGAGGTGCTTTAGAATCTTCTATTATGTTGCTGGCATCGCTGCTGCTGCTTGAGGACAATGGTACATTTTGTCGAGGACCTTGATCATCAGCTTGTTCATCTTGATTGATAAGATCGTCATCTTTAAAAAATAGTCCTTCCATTTTTTTTTCCTCTTTGCTCCATCTCCAATAGTCTGCTTCATCGAACTCGACATCTCTTGAAATAATTATCTTCTTGGTAAGAGAATTATATAATCTGTAAGCTTTGCTTCTTTCATCATAGCCAATGAAAATACATTTTTCTCCTCTGTCATCAAGCTTCTTTCTGGTCTGTTCAGGAACGTGGGCATATGCGATGCATCCAAAAATCTTGAGGTGTCCAACTCCTGGTTTCTGTCTATTCCATGCTTCGTTTGGCGTCATATACTTCACGCTTTTTTTGGACATCTGTTCAATAGGTAAACTACACATCGAACTGCTTCAGCCTAGAAATTTCTCGGTAGTTGCTTGCCTTTTATCAAACTTCTTGCCATGTCCAGGATTGTGCGGTTCTTTCTTTCTGCAACTCCATTTTGTTGTGGCATGTATCTGGTTGTCAGTTGATGGATGATTCCATGCTCTTTGCAAAATTCTTCAAATAACTTTGATGTGTATTCGCCTCCTCTATCTGATCTAAGTATCTTCAAATATTGACCGCTTTGTTTTTTCGCCATTGCTTTGAATTCTTTCAATTTTTCCAGCGCTTCTGACTTTTTTTTTCAAGATGTAAATCCAACATTTCCTACTAAAATCATCAAAAAAAGTTAGGTAGTACCTGTTACCGCCAAGCGATGGTATATCAAAAGGACCGACTATATCTGTGTGTACTATCTCCAGCGGTCTTCGGGCACGCCAGGATCTACCAACTTCAAAGCTTTGTTTATGTTGCTTTCCTTTGATGCAAACCTCACATAATTGATTTGGAGGGTTGATCTCTGGTAGTCCTTTCACCATGCTCGTTTTTTATAACAGCTTCAAACCAGAAAATCCAAGATGTCCATATCTTAGATGCCACAGCCATGAATCATCTTTGATCGCGGTCTTCATGCACTTGACTTCTCCTGACTCGATATTAATTGTAAAGACACGATTTCGAGTCATATCAGCTTGGACTATCAATTCTCCTTCTTTGTTTTTGATGGCAAGCGAGCGATTCTTCATCTGCACTTCATATCATTTTTCCAGGAGTTGACCAAGACTGATGATATTGCTTTTCAAAGCAGGTACATAATAAACATTTGAAATGTATTTCTTTTCTCCATTTCTCTGAGTAATCATGACTTCACCTTTTCCTTTTATTTCTGCGTGTGAGACATCTCCGAACGTTACTCGCCCATGAACTGTTTCATCTAATTTCACAAACAGATCCCTTTGACCACATATATGGTTGCTGACACAATTATCAAGATACCAAATATTTTTCTTGAATTCCTCATTTCCTTTATAAGTGAGGAATACATGAGATTTTTCAATTTTTTCTTCTTGAGTTGCTGCTACGTTATTTCTTTCTTCTTGTTTAGGAGCAGATCTACACTCATAACTATAATGACCATACTTATTGCAATTATAACATTGTACCTGGAATTTACTTCCTTGTTGATATCTGCCCCTATCTCGGCCTCTGAATCCTCGTCTACGGCCTGATGTTTGATTGCTTTCACTTATTTGAACGATGTCATATGATCGACCACCACGTCCATGAGTTCCTCATCCTCCTCTGTATCTTCCACGATTTCCTCGACCTCGTATGTAGTTGCTGCTAGCTTCTCATTCGTTGACATTCATCTTGCTTTGTAGAGCTTGCTCCAAATTTTCAGAATCTTCATTTTGTTTTGTTTTCTGCTCGTGGGCTTGAAGTGAACCCACAAGCTCATCGATCGATATCTGAGATAAATCTTTCGATTCTTCGATTGCCACTACCACGTAATCGAATTTTCTTGTCAATGATCGCAAAATTTTTTCCATCACTCTAACATCGTCGAGTGATTCACCATTTCTTTTCATTTCATTTACGACTGCTTTCACACGGCTAATATAATCATCGATGGTTTCTTATTTTTCATTTTTAACATCTCAACTCAGCTCGGAGAGTTTGTAAGCGTACATTTTTTGCTTTTTCGGCACCTTGTAGAGATTTTTGCAAAATCTCTCAAGCTTGTTTTGTGGTCTTCGCATCAGAAATTTTTTCAAAGGTAGATTCGTCTACTCCTTGAAAAATAAAGAACAACGCTCTTTTATCTTTTTTTCCGGGATTCCTTCAATATCTTCTTTTCTTCATTGACCAGGGATGCTTCTGCTGCTGCATTTTCAGGCTCGGTATAACCATCCTTGATGATATCCCAACAATCTTGGAAGCCTAATAACACCTTCATTTGAATGTTCCAATTGCTGTAATTCATCTTTGTCAATCTCAGGATTTGTGGTTGAATCATGTTGGCCATCTTCTCCACCACGTTGAACTCGAACCAAGCTCTGAGGCCACTTGTTGGAAGCGTAGATGGGCTCACGATAATTTATAACACTCAAACTTTTTATTTATCCGAAACAAAATATGTTACAACGACACCCTCAATATTACAATACTGCAATACTAGCTGCGGCTAGTTTACAAACTCAACCTCACTATTTTAAGCTTTGCTAAGCTCTATCAATTCTCTCTATTTTTTTCTCATATATTTTTCCTCACTTGTTACTTACGCACTACACACTCGTATTTTTATTTCACTCACTTACTCTTTTTTCTCTTATGTTATATGCTTGCTTTGCTCACATATATATATATATGAAATAAACCGACATATTGAGAACTAGATTCTTCTCAATTTCTCTATTATTGCCACCTTATTGTTTGTCTTGTTTTGCTTCAAATTAAAAAATCTTGCCGACATACACTAGTGAGTTGAAACTTCTACAAAATTAAACCAAACCCAGATCAGTGTACAAATTCTTATTTAAGCCCCCACATAAGTATTGGTATTCTTTGTATTTGTTTTATTTACCTTAACTTTGTATATACTTGTTGGTTATATATATCGACAAGGATGGCCATGAATTTGATCTGAGTTTAATACTCTTTCACCGTCACTCAACTCGATTTGAGTTTAAGAAAGTACGATCAGACTTAAATTTTAGGATAAAAGCCTACATCCGATCCAACACAAAATTCTCATTTTTATTAGGTAAAATATGGATTTGATTGAACACAGGGAGAGAAAGAGAGGTATTATAACAATAATGCTTAAATATGTAAAGTTAAATTATACTATTATTCATGGGCACGTAAAATGTTTTTCACTCTAAACTCGAACTTAATTCCACTTTATTTAATCCTTTAAAAAACTCCCATTTAATCAGACTCGAACTTGAAGTAAGAAAACTGACCCTATCAAATTGATTCGAGTGGGAACCTTTCCAGTTTATATACATTCTTATATATTAGTTTTAAACGAGAATATTATTTACTTAAATAAATTTATTGATAAAATTGGAATTTTACATTTATTAAAATATTAATGAATATTGACAAATTGATTCGCATGCATCAAGTTATGCCATATTATTTAGCAATAATTTTTTAATGAAATAAATAATTAATAAAAAATTGAAATTTTAAAATAAATACGTAATTACTTAAACTAAAAGTGGATCCACCCCTACGACTAACCTTCCATAGTTTATACGTAACCTCAACCCACCATGGCCAAACCTAAACCTTCAGAAGCCACCGACTATGTATGCATATGTGTGCGTGCAGCTTATAATATAAAGTAAAGAGATTCTTAATTATAGATTGGTATTAATTATAATTAACTGATAGGGATGCAATCATTTTGATTCTCTAACACTAACACATCATGTGTGCATTATCATCAGCTTTCGTAATTTTTTGGACTACAATCTAACCCCTAATCGAATTTGTATTTTAATACAATGTGCCTTCGACTTGTATATTTATTAAGGGTTTGAATCCTGACGTTTATGAATAGAGTAAATTAAGTTGAGAGGGTCGTATATGCCTTTGCAGTATCCTATTTAACCTAAACCTTCAGAAGCCACCGACTACGTATGTATATGTGTGCGTGCAGCTTATACTATAAAGTAAAGAGATTCTTAATTATAGATTGGTATTAATTATAATTAACTGATAGGGATGCAATCATTTTGATTCTCTAACACTAACACATCATGTGTGCATTATCATCAGCTTTCGTAATTTTCTGGACTACAATCTAATCCCTAATCGAATTTGTGTTTTAATACAATGTGCCTTCGACTTGTATATTTATTAAGGGTTTGAATCCTGACGTTTATGAATAGAGTAAATTAAGTTGAGAGGGTCGTATATGCCTTTGCAGTATCCTATTTAAATTAATTGATTAATAAATTAAATACTAATAAATACTAATAATTATATCATACTTAAAATCTTTCGATTTATAGGTAAGGAGGAATCTAGAGGCAAAATTGTTGTATAAAAAAGAGTAATTTTTTAATACACTGTGTAAACTAAAATTTACACAATTATGAACCTTGAATTTTAAATGTAAACCTTAAAATATATAATCTTAAATCTTAAATCTTAAATAGAATACATAATATTAAAATAAATATATTTATATAAACTACACAACCTTTATGTTAGACAATTTTTCATAAAAAAGTAACATATTAACAAAGTTCTTTGAATCAACCACGGATCCCATATTTTTTTTATTCAAATTAGGATATACACCACTAAATAATGATTAATTTTTTATTATAAATATTTTTTCAAAAAATTAAATAGCTCGTTATAAAATATGACTTATTCTCATTCGTTCATCCATTTATTATATTTTATTTATCATCTTAACTCAATTAGTATTATTATTCTTGTAATATATAAATAGATGGGTATTTACACATGTTATATAATATTTCCTATTTATGAGAAAAAAAATTAAATAATATAAATATTGTAAAAGAAACAAATCAGGAATCAGGACAGCAGTTAGTCCACCTCTCTTGGGCCACTAATAATTGTAAATCTGCCAAATTGGTGGACCGATTAGACCAAAAAGATTGGTGGACTGTTATTGCATGTTTGGTTCTTTGCTTCTAGTAAGAGGCTCGGAACCAACAGAGGTCGCTCTGTTTTTTTAGCAGTGGACCCTTCGTATCAGAACTCGTAATTGATTCCGAGTTGATTGAGCTCTTGGCTGCTTTGGGTAAGCTTTCGAGTTTCCTTGTAACTTTGATAGCTCGATTTGTCGGTAAATTTTCAGGTTTCTGGTGAAATTAGTGAGATTGTTATGATTGGTAGTCTTCAATTTAATTTCTTCATGACTCTGCAGTGAGCTTAAGGAAACATTAGAGATTAAGGTAATTCTATCTTTGTCTTCTTTGATGATTCGAGCTTCGCTCAATACCTTAAACCGTAGCCTAGTAAAATCAGACAATTTCCATGGAAACTCCATGTCAAACTTACCCTTTTCTTCAGCCTCTTCTTCTTCACTTCAAACCATTGAAAACTCTCGGAGCAAAATGCTCATAAGTCCACTTTACAATCTTCTTCCTGAGACCCAAAATCCCAACAAAATAGTAGACCTCATCTCATCACTTTCTCAAACAAAACAATTCTCAGTTAACCCTTCTCAAAAATGACATAGAACCCCTCATTCCTCATTTGGGTTGTCATGAAATCACAAGGGTGTTATTGAGATTCCAGTCTGATTCTTTTTCAGCTTCAACTTTCTTCAACTGGGTTAAGAATGATTTGGGTATTAAACCTTCTTCACATAACTATTGTTACATTGTTCATATATTGGCTTGGTCTAAGAACTTCCCTTTGGCCATGGAATTGTTGTGTGAACTGATTGATTTTGTTAAGGATTGTTCAAGTTGTGAAGATGTTTTTGAAAGTTTGGTGCTTTGTAGCAAAGATTGTAACTTTGATCCTGTTGTTTTTGATATGCTTGTTAAGGGTTATGTGAGGAAGGGTATGGTTAAAGAAGGGATTAAGACCTGTAGGAAGGTGTTGGAAGTTGGCCATTTGCCCTCTGTGATTACTTGTAATTGTCTTTTGACTGGATTGTTGAGGTTGAATTTTATCGACCAGTGTTGGCTGGTGTATGAAGAGATGGGGAGAGTTGGGATTCACCCGAATACATATACTTTTAATATATTGATTAATGTTTTCTGCAAAGATGGAAATGCTGATAAGTTTAATGAGTTCTTGGAGAGGATGGAAGACGAAGGGTCTGATCCTGATCTGGTAACCTATAATACGCTGATTAGTAGCTATTGTAGAAAAGGGAGACTCAACGATGCATTCTATTTGTATCGGATTATGTATAGGAGAGGTGTGATGCCGGATTTAGTTTCGTACACCGTGTTGATGAGCGGTCTTTGTAAAGAAAGGAGCGTGAGAGATGCACATCAGTTATTCCATAATATGGTTCATCAAGGATTGGAACCAGACATTGTGTCTTATAATACTCTTATTTCTGGTTATTGCAAGGAGGGGAGGATGCAAGAATCAAAGTATTTGATGCATGAGATGATAGGGAACAAGATTTCCCCGGATAATTTTACTTCTCGAGTTATTGTGGAAGGATATGCAAAACAGGGAAGGTTGGTTTCAGCTTTGAATTTGATTGTAGAGCTAAGGAGATTCAGGGTTTCCGTCTCTTCAGATATTTATGACTTTTTGATGGTTTCTTTATGCCATGAGGATCGACCATTCGCCGCAAAGAGTCTCTTGGAAAGAATCCCTCAAGATGGTTATTTACCTAAACCAGATATCTATAACGAATTGATCCAGTCGTTCTGCAGATGCAACAGTGTGACTGATGCATTGCTCCTGAAAGCTGATATGGTGTGCAAGAGAATAAAAGTCGAACTGGATGCATATAAAGCTCTTATATGCTCATCATGTAGAATAGGTGAAGCTCCTGAAGCAGAATCCTTGATGGAAGAAATGCTCGAATCTGGTATCCTTCCCGATCCACAAATATGCAGGGCGCTAATACAATGCTATTGCAAGCAATCGGACATCGATAAAGCTGAGTCGCTATTGAGCTTCTTTGCCAGAGAATTCAAGATTTTAGATACTGAAAGCTACAATTTTCTTGTGAGATCATATACAGAGAGGGGCTATATGGTTAAGTTAATGGGGCTTCAGGATAGAATGATGAAACTAGGATTTGCACCTAATAGCTTGACATGTAAGTATGTAATTAATGGTCTATTGAGAGCAAAGAGATTGGATAATCACAAGTTGCTTGGCTCTCAACTGCAATAATCAGCCGGTGGCTTATAATTTTTGTATGTACGGTCATTTCATCTTGTAACTTTTTACCTTTTAAGAACATTTTAGGAGCTTGTGCATGGTTATATTTCTAATTTCCTAATTAAAAATGAGTACAAACTCCAAACTCAAATGCCAAACTGAAATGGGAATCAATTCCCTAACTTTTTTTTCAGTAAAATCACAATGGATTTTTCTTTTCTTTTTTAACTTTTAATCCTTTGTCCTAAAAATTAATCTCAAAACATGACACTATTTGCCACTCAAGTAGAACTGTTAAACCTTGTGGTGGCTACAACTTCAAACAAATTGAATGTTTTTACCTTACTGTACAAAAACCCAAAACATCCCCTTATCTTCAACATTCCTTGCTTTTAGGTGACACTTTCACGCTAGATATTGATGGACTATGCTCTGAAACTTCAGCCAAGCCCGTATGCTCAACAAAACTCTTAACATCGGAATCCGCAGATTCCCTATAGTCCGAAGCAACTTCCTGGGAGATGCTGCATGCAAAGTTTTCTTCTGTCTGGACATCATTGGCTTCTAAAGGCTCCTTTGGTGTGGAAGATGAGGTTTCTTTGCTATTAGGATCATTGCTCGAATTGCTAGATATTAGCCATGAAAACTGCAGATTGTTGCCTTGCCAGCATTTACCATTTACAAATGCCCTTTCTGCCGAGAGGCTTGTGCTGTAAGTTATATGAGCTGAGCAATTCTTCAATGTCTCAGATACCATACCATCATCTTCATTTTCCACATCCTCCAGCTCCACAGAGAAAAGGTCACCATATTGTGAGAAGTGCTCCTTCAAAACATCAACCTAATAATTGACAAACAGACTTCAGCTGCCTTTCATTGACAACAAAGGGCATACAAGCCAATCCAGTTTTATGCCAGTAAGTGAAGACCTCATCATTACAAATAACTAGACATCTAAGAAGTTATGCTGCTACGAAGCATTCATGCCTAAAACCTATATCCGACACATCCAAATATGGTATAGGAACATGTCCGCCTAGGATTCTCCAAATAATGAAAATCTTTGGAAAATTGAATGACACGTACTCCTGTGCTTTCATTTGAGCATAAACAACATAGCTAAGATGGCCTGTTGTTTGGGCAATGTACTTATTTCATCTTTCCACTTTCAAGATGTAATAGAAGATGAATTAAGGGAAAATCCATCATCGCAAAAGATGAAACCAAAACAATTTCTCAAACAAGGAAAAGGAGAGAGCAACTCACATGTGCAAGATCGGATGGCAATGGTGAAATAACTCTAAAAGCAGTAGGCCTGTTATCCAATTTGTATTTATTCACCGGGAATGGATGTGCTACTGGTGCCGACTGAGAAGACCACTGCTTTGATTTAGGACTGTGGTACAGAACATTCTCCGTTGACAGGTCCTTATCTGTCATGTCCATAGTGCATGATGTTGCAGCAGAAGCGCCAGGTCCAAAGAATATTGGAGTTGAAGGTTTGGCAGGATCAGCCGCAATGCCCACCTTTTGCCTCTTGGCAGCTTGTTCAGTATTGCCTTTGACCCCACTAGACTGCAAAAAGGTTGAAATAGACAAACGTTAAACCTACCTTAACATGGGATATTATCACACATTTATTATATTTTTAAAAACCTGGTGCTTTGGTTCATCATTCTTTTTGAACTTGTATCAGCATGTATATGCAGTCAAACTATTGGAAAATAAGATGCATGCATGTTTGACAACGCACAATAGTGAAGTTTTTTCCATCACTTAGCTACAGCATTCTAATCAGTTTCAAAACTACTATGAGAACATGCAATTTCTGAACCTGATTTCTATACATAACGATTCTTAGAGGCATAAAATTACTCAAAGACTGGATATTTAAGAATATTGTATATAAAAGTAAACCAAGTTCCCATTACTTGTTTCTCAAGTTTGTCCAACTGGCGTCGAAAGTCATTCCGCTTCTGTTCCAGCATTTCCTGCTTCTTGCGTAGTTTCTCTTTCATCCGCTCCAAAGTCTCTAACTTTTTCTGCAGTGGGGGTGGAACCATGGGACCATTCATACTGAGAGGCTTGGGGGAATTCATAGAAGGCACATCAACACCATGGCTAATGTTGCTCTTCTGAGGAACAGGTTGAACATTATCTTTTCCTCTACTTGCAGCAGGCTGAGCTGGAATAGCAGAAGCTATTAGACCACGAGAAGTTACTGATGTACCACTGCCACTGTTTATACAACCATCAGGAATGTTATCTCGATTGGCCCACCACAGCTTAATAAATCGGTTACCCATTACAGCATCAGGTGCCTTCAGAGCAGCTTCCGCCTCCTCCCTCCTTGAAAACTGTACGAAGGCCCGTTCACTATTTAATGGAATATAAATGTCAATAACCTCTCCAAACTTACAAAAATGAGAAAGAAGAGCCCCTCTTTTGTTGCTTTTCTGGGGAATCCCATTGACAAACAGTGTACGTTGTGCCTTTTGAGTTGGTTTTCTGCTATTACGCAAACTATCAGTCTGTGACTTCAATGATGAATCCATAATTTTGGAGCCATCATTCTCACTGCTGATCCACTTCACCTGACTAGAAGTACCTTGAGAGCTAGGATATGCTTGTTGTTCTTCCTTGATTTCATTCTCAAGACAATCCAAGGATGAGAGATCAATTTTATGTTTGGTATCTAATCTTGTTCTTAAGATACCAGTTCTACCCATTACAGCATCATGTAACCTTCCATGATGACAATCAGAGATATCATCATTTTGCAACGATTCTGTTTCATCAATCTTGGGTGAATGTAGTCCTGAGAGTGCAGTCGATGTTTCCAGACCATTGTTATTCCATAACGGTTGATCAGGATCATACAAATCAGCACCACTTACAATGGTAGAACCAGCACTATTCATACCTATGGCTTCCTCAGCCATTCCAAGTTCGCAATTTTTTCTATGTACATCGTTGCTATTCATTGAAGCTGTTGGAGGAAAACCTGAAAGTAGTGCTCCACGTCCAGCAGGTGTTGGCAACAATTTTGCAGTTGGAACTGCAGCAGGAAGGTTGAACTGTGACAGAGTCTGCAAACCAGAAAAGAAACCACTGTTAACTAGAATACATGGCAAATGGTAACTGTTTCAAGGTGATGAAAATGAATCAAAGCCAGTGATGGACTTCCCTACCAATGCAATTTGGATTTCAGACTAGTGCATACATTATGTATGAGATTATAAGTTAGATGACACTATAAATTGGAAAAGAAACCACTTCACCAGTCAACATAGAATGTCGAGTAAATACCACTGATGAAAGAAAAAGTATAATTGCAGAGATCTCTACAATCGTGGTATGTTTAGACAATGCTTAAAGCAGAGAATTGATCTATAAGCATGAAGTTTCTTGATTTGTGTTAAGTAACCCCACCGTACTATTCTGGAGGCTTCCCTTCAAGAAGATAATTTAAGACCAACAGCATGGAGGCTAACTTAGCAGAAAGCAACACCCTATAGTCAAGGGATTATTTTATATCTTTTAATAGTCGGGAGACTCAATAAAGTAATTTCATATATTCAAGGAATTATTTGTGTACTTTATCCTAAAATTAATTATTATTAATAGTAAAAGAAGTATCCATCTACCTTTTGTCTATTAATTTTCTCCATCTACCTTTTGTCCATTAATTTTCATTGTTTTACACCAATAAAACTTGAATACTGTCATAGAAGGATGTTTCTTAACAATTTTTTATCTTCGGTAAAAATATATTAAGCACTTAAAAAAAATTACTAAAAGAGATAAGCACTTACAAAATCTATGTGGTATGCTTGTTATTTTTGTTGGTTAAGAAATGGTTGGCAAATAAATAGAAGATCGGGAAAATAGAAGGAAAGCAAAGGATGACAGCAAATACAGCTGCTAGGTGTTATGCAAAAGTTTTAGAAAGTAACATGACAGTCATTTGCAGAATTAGAATATTTAGACTAAAGCATAACAACAAAGCACAAGGTTAAAGCCCTGCTTCCGGTGGTAGTGCAGCATTTAATGCAGGTATATTGCCAACAAAAGCAATTAAAAGGTGTTAAAAAGGATATGTAACAATCAAAAACATTTTTAAGACATTTTCATCCTATACTTTTTGTTAGTAACCAGAGAAGATAAACAGGATGAACATGGCAACCTCCTGGGCTGGCCCTCGGTAAAATTATATTGCCAGAATTCTTTTAGAAATTTTGTAAAGCCTTACTGTATAAGTGATCACATTTCAAAGTCAAGACATACATTAACAAAATTCATACCTGAACATCTTCAACAACGATACGATTGACCCCATGCTCCATTGGGCACATATCTCCTCTTAGACAAAATCCGCGCTCCTCAAAGTCTCTACAACGTTGGAGAGGAATGCCCCTATTGAATGAAGGATTCTTAGGTGGCCTGAGAGCCCCTTGTAAAACAAGAGGATGGAGTGTATCGAGGCTACTATTAGGTATTGCCGGCATAAGCCCAAAGGCACTCCATGATGGGGTTTGTGCACTTGAAACATTTGGAAATCCCCTTCTTGCGAAGAGACTTGGAGCAAAAGAACCCAGCTGAACCATTTGAGAAGCCCTATCAACCAAGTTGAATCTAGGATCATGTTGATTCCACAAAGAGTTATTCCTTCCTCTTCCCTTACCAGGACCAGAATCTCCACTGAATGTTTGGTTTGACCTAATTCTCTGGTTCAGATCCAAATTTCCTTGGGTAATTGACGCAAATCCAGGGTGTCTTTTATCAAACTTAGATGTCAAGTCATTTTCTGGAGGCAAACCATTACATGTTTTCCAGGCTTCACCACCTTGAGATTCACTTTCTCTGACAGGATGCCCGTTTTCAAAGGGTTTCTTGTGCTTTCTGTATGGTCTTGTAAATAGTGGATCCATAGGATCTCCCTCTAATGATTGAGGGTGTCGGTCCCACCTGCGATGCTTATGGTTGCGATCATCCTCATCACTGACCTCTTTCTCCTCTGGATCAATTATGCGATCAGGAGAACTACCACCAAGATTAGGTGATGAAGCTTTCAGTTCCATTTGGATCAACAAACCTGTGTTCTTTTACAGCATGCAAAGCTCTAAACTCTAACCAGAAGCAGCAGCCAAACAGCTTGAGAAGCAATTTGAAGAAAAACCTAAGAATAGAAAAACAATTAAGGTAGGTAAATAACAACATAAAGCAGTGTTTTTTAGCCTGAAAATAAAAAATATTAAAGAAAGCAATTTAAGCAAAATGCAAATTAAATTTGTAGATGTTAAGGACATTTACATGAATGAATCAATATCATCACAGACAACTGAATATAATCTATTACAACAATTAGAAAATTAGAACTGTATCATAGCAAGAGATTATGCAGTAACACTTAAGAGCTCCTGCAAGTAACCAAACAAGCGTTGCACCAAATAATGGTTCAGCAAGCAGGCATATCTATATGTTATAGAAGTTAAATCGATAAACAAGTAAACTCCTTCAACTTATCAATTTGTTGCTTAGATTGACTAGTGTTTGTTCTTAAGCTGATTAATCTGCTTTTAACACAAATTTTGATGCACTTATTATAAAAATCGCATGTCCAAATGAAACTCATAAACCACAGACCGAGAAACAATAAATCAATTTGGGTAACAAGACCAATGAGATAGACTCCAGAAGCTGATTGCAATTCCAATGCCTTCTAATGAGGTTCCTGATATTGCAATAACTCCATTTTCTAGCCCAAGTATCAATTAAGGAATATTGTGTTCAATGCCATAGGCCCATATCTGATATCAGTTTTCAATTTCAAATCCATCGACCAAAGTTTTGGAACAAAAATAAGAATGGATACAAAGCTGTATCACCATAGTTTGACACTATATCCGAGATCTAACCGCACTTTTTAGTCTCCACCAAAAGCATACCATACTAACTTTGGAGATCAATCTTCTTGTAATATTTGCTACAAAATATGGCTCATGCAAAGTATAATCTCCAAGATGACCTTATGCTAACTAAAACCAAGTCATTCAAATGGCTAAACTTATGCTAATATAAGCACCAAAGAACAATAATGATTAAACCAAATAACTTTAGGAAAAAAAACACTATCTCAAGATATGTCGTTTTCACACTCCTTAAAGAAGACCTTTATGCTAAATAAAACATAGTCACTCAAACACCTAAAACTGATACTAACACGAATAACAAAGAACAATTGAATAAACCGATTGCCTTTTAACAAAAACACTATTCTAAGATTGATGTGGTGTTCATGCTCCTTAAACTCATACCAGAACTAGAGTAAAAGAAAATTGTTACAATTTGTCAATAACTTCTATTTCACTCAAAATATTTCAAAGTTATTAAACTAGGAAACGAACTAACCATACTGAAACCTCGAAAGAACTTAAGCAAACAATATAAGGCTTATCGAACTTGAGCACGTAATGGTAAGATATAATTTCAATAAGCCACACTCCAGTAAAAAAATCAATCCTAGATAATATCAGTCAGCTCCAACTTAAAAATCATTGCCCAAAAACAAAAATTAAAGTAAAACCAGTTCGGCAAAACGTATTCAGCAATCAGTTACTGCATCAAAGTATTATTTAGTTGCAACAGATTCGTTATAACTATTTTCTTTGCTCCTTGAGCCTGGATACTAATGTCCTAAGGAAAATAAACTCAATAACAAAATCAAACTGCGAAAACCGACGAACAATTCAGCATAAAATTAAGTCGATAATCAAGAACATACATGTTGAGGCAAAAATTAATCCAAAAACTACTAAACAAATTCAATTTGAGCTCCTAAACATATGGATTATCACATTTAAAATTAATAAATGAACTCGAAATTCAAATAATTACGAAAAGAAAAAGAAAAACGAATAATCTAGTTTTCGCATAAATAATTAAGGATCAAAAGAAATTACAGAATATTCTAGAATCACAGAAGGAGGATGTCTTCGGAGCAATCTCTTGATTCAAAATTGAATCCAAGCGCCGAAGCGGCAATGAGAGAAGGGGGGCGACGCCGGGTATTGCCGGAAGAAGAAGAAAAGGAATAGAATGGAGAGAAAGGAAGGCCGAGGAGGGCAGTATTGTAATAAATTTATAATCGAGGGGTAGAGGGTTTATGAGAGTATTTTTGGAAGATTTGACGAAGGTGCGGGTGAAGAAGGTAGAAACGACGGAATTAGATATGAGAATATATAAAACTTTCTTTTGAGGACGAAATTAACAATGGATATTTATAATGGGTTCCTTTTTTTTTAATATTTAACAAACTAACTATAAAACTTTTTGCTTTTGTCTTATTCGTGTAATGGCTAGGCGAATTAAATTAAAAATTCATGTATTCGTTAGAGTTCTATAAATTTTGATATCTATGTATTTTGAGATATTTGTAATTTTGAAAGGTGTGAGGTGAAAAAATGGAATAAACGATGAAAACAATAAAGCAATAGTTACATTGGCTCCCATTTATTTTTTTAAAAATTTATTCATTGAACACTCTTTATTGTCATCAATGATTTAGATTTACCAATTCATTATCCATACCTTCATTTTTGTAATATTTTTTAATGAAATAAGATGATTACAAAGTAATATATATTTATAATATTTCTTAATAATTAATAACGTACACACACCATACAAAAATCCAATACCTCTAGAAAGAATAAAACTCCATTGAATTATTAGGATTGCTCAATTAAATTTTGATATTTGTTCATAATTCCTTTCATACATTTAGATCCACAAATTATCCGAATACCAACTCATTTAAAAAAGGATTAAAATATTTATTTTTAAATATTAAAAAATATTATAATAAAACTTTTATATTTCAAATTTGTATACAAACTTCAAACAAAATAATCAAAAATCACTATTAATGATTAATTTTTTATCAGTCCATCCACACTTATTGAGCAATAAAATTTTAAAATATATACCATTTATGTAAAATGCTCTCCTTCAATCACATTGTGAGTATTTTTTTATCGAAGGGAAAAGAAAATTCATTAACGAAATCTTAGAACATGGTGTTGAGTATCCAAACTTGCTCACAATCAAACTCATATGTAACCTAGACCCGTACATTCGAACCATTGCTTAAGAAAATATTACAAAATCTTTTACATTTTGAAATTTATAGTTTAAATAAAATATTTCTATGCATAAATAATAATTTTGAGCAAAGCCAACTTAACTAAATGAATTCCCAAAAATCAGATTTTTTGGGTGGGGGGTGTTAACAAAATGAATAGTCAACTTAATTCAAATTATTGCAAGTATACACAAATGTGAAAAAGCGAGAAAAGAAACTCGACAGTCAAACAAGAAGAGTGAAAAGTGGGAGAAATTGAGAAACCTGAAAGCAAGCAAGATGGGGGTTGATGTAGGCCCCCCTAATCTCTGAATAAGTTCAATCCGAATCGATGATAACTCCTATACATGAACATGAATCAATGATCGCAGGTTTACCTCCCCAACCAGCCTCTCGGTAGCTGTATATCACTATCATTCATTAGCTTATCCAACACCACATTGAGGTCGACCGACTGCCCGTTCTCCGTTAATTTTCTAACCGTTGCTCTAACATGGTCCCTGGGAAATCCCATGCTGGTTACTTTGTCAACAACATCATCAATGGGAACCCTGTTTCCAGGTCCAGACGGAGCTGGTCCGCCACCAACCCCGGATGCAGTGGGCAATGCATGTGGTAGTATCCTAGCTGTTGGAAGCTGTGGGTAACCACTTCCAGTAGAAGATGGGAGCTGCGGCATTTTCATAGGAGAGCTGCTGCCATATTGTGGAGACGATCCACCATAACCATATGGTTCACTTGGCCCAGATTGTGGGATATATCCAGTAGAAAACCCGGTAACAGGCCTTCTGGATGGTGGTTCATGCATTTGAGGTGGGGTCCCAAAATACCGTTGGGAGGAAGGAGGGCCACTGGGTGGTTGAGAGGGTGGCTGAAGTAGGTTTTGTGGATATGTTTGGGAAGGTACATAAGATGCTTCTTCAGGATGGTGGCCTACGGGAAGTTGAACTTGATGGGGCTGTGGTGGTTGAAAGTACTGAGGTGGAGGGGCTGGTTGATATGGCTGATGAGGCGGTGCTGCAGGAGAGGGCTGTGGCTGCTGAGCAGAAGGCATTGGGTATTGTTGACTAGGAGTCTCTTGAGTTTGGCCAGGCGGTGAGTAGTAAGCATCACGCTGAGGGCCAGAAGGAACTTGCAGAGTAGGAGGCATCGGGAATAGCTGATTTGGGGTCTCCTGAGGTTGGCCAGGTGGTGGATAGTAAGCATCTCGTTGAGGGACAGAAGGAACTTGGCTCTGAGGGAATTGATCTGGATGTGGCAGGTTTTGCTGGCGAACAACTGGAGGAGGAACAGTAGGAGGTGGAGCAGAAGAAAGTGATTGCAGAAAAGCAGCAGGTGGAGGAAGCTGCTGGTGAGATTGAAAAGGAGCAGATGCAGCTTGTAGCACGGAATCCATATGTGCAGTGCTATGAGTTTCTGATGGCTGGTCTCTCTCGGTCGCCTGCAGCTTTGGAAGCTTTAAAAGAGCTTCCAAACTCTCTTGCTTTTCTTTTACAAAATGCACCTCTGTTTGCACCTGCACATGGTTGACCCAAAAAAAACATAAAATAATCACACAAGACAGTGATCAAAGTACAAGAACACACATCAGCTAGCATTAGAAGCCTACAAAAAGTCCCAATAAAGAAAACAAAATTCTGTCCCTTAACAATACCACGCGAACAAATATTTCTTGCAAGTATCTTGGTTTTTACATGCGGGCTGGAAAATTACTTCTCCTTGCAAGTTTAGTAAGGGCCATGAAAAATCACAGCCAGATTTGCATTCATAAGTAATTGTAAGTCACCAGAAGATCTTTGCAGCCGCATAACATGCCCCTAGGATTTAGCAAAGGTGAGCAAGAAATCAACCTTGGCTTTGGAAACCAGATATGATTTCCTCGCTTCACTAATGGATGAAGACATACAAGAAATGAAGTCAATAAAGGTTTCAATTTAGAGAGACCAAGAACATAATAAAAGACAAAAGCAAGTGTCTAGATGGTGCGACAACTTCATATCCTTTAGTGTCATGTCTTCCAATGCAGTTTACTAATTTGACTGCTATAAGTCAATCACAGCCACTTGAGCTAACAAGACACACAATGTACATCTAATTCTTCCTTTATATACCAATGGCAGACAAAACAGAATCAAATACCAAGGGAGAATATATTTTAGAAAATACCTCTTTTAAAATATTCTCTAGCTGTCTCATTTTCCAATCAGTGTTTCCCTGATTGTTTCCTATAGACACCTTCAAATCATCCACAGAAGTCTCAAGGTTACTGGTTCTACTCTCCAGCTGTGTAAGATGGGCACCAACACCTTCTAACATGTGCATCAAATTATCAGTATGTTTCTTCATGGTTTGGTCAATTGCAGCCACTAATGATGTGTCAACGGCTTTTTGTTCCTTTTCTTGAATTTCTTTTACAGGTTCAAGTGAATCAAGAGAACCATGCTTCTGTCCACGGCGAGGAAAATGAAAAAGTAAACAGTAATGCAGTTGAAGAAACCCCACTGAATCTTGTAAGTACTAAGAATCAAGTTTATACCAATAAAATTTTACTAATCTAACTATAATGAGAAAATATATTCTCAAAAAATCCACATAAGTAGTGAGGTTAACTATCAAAATATTAACTCCATATCAACAAGATTACTATTCAAACTACATTTCATTGAATAAACCCCAAAAAATATTTTAAAAAATCCTAGTAACCATATCCATAAGTTTATTAATCAAACTACATTTCACCGAATAAACTCCAAAAATTATTAAAAAAATCCAACTTTAATTGAATCAATTCAGTAAAATATAAATATCTAGAACATAAAATCGTATCCACTACTTATCAACAAAAAACCAAAATGAATGGGAGGTTGAAGATTTACCTTAATTTTAGAATCAACAGAACTCCAGGACCAGGGATTATTAATAACTCCAGGGACATCAAGGCTAGTTGAAACAGGACAGATCGGTTGGAAATCATAGCTAGGGACAATCTCTTCCCTGTTATTAATCCCGTCATTACCAGCACTAAATCCAGAGCCTTGATTGTGAATATCTTCATTTCGTGGGTGATTAATCAGATCGATGAAATCTTTGCTGGAATTTTGGGGAGGTGAAGAAGAAGTTAATGTTAAGTCCATTATTTGCTTGTCCGTGAACTGCAATGAATTCATCATTCGGAACTTCAGTTATTTGGTTTATTTGGGTTCGTTAATCTTTTTCAATGATTAGAAGACATATTTTTATACCATTTAAATAGAATAATCTCTGACACACAATCAAATTTCACCAGTAAATTTAACAAACTGACATATTTTGTACAGTATAATAAAAAAATACTTAAAAAATCTTCACTAAATTGCATAGAAATTTAGAACTCCTTCAAAATTGCATAGAAAATAGGCTTAATTAAATATAGTACAAAAAAAATCCATTAAAGGAGAAAACCCCAAATGAACCCTTATATCTCTAAGATCAAATGAGCGGCTCTAAGCCGATAAAGATTATTGGTAAAAACATTTAGATATTGTTGTTTTGTTACCAACAAAAACATTTAAGTGTGTACAAAGCATGTGACCCGCATGTGAAGTTGAAAAATCCATATGTCAATGTGTAAAAATCACCTCTAAAAGGAAACGACATTAGAATTCTTAAACAATGGCTAGTAAATGAAAGATGGAAAAGTCAGAACTCAAGTTAGTTCATTAAAGAGATTCCTTTAGTTCCATATAAACAGGTAAATACTGGACCCTTCCTGTCAGAGAGCAAATCAGTCAAGCAAAATGTTCAGTTTCAGTCCTGTTTTTGCTTTGATAATTAGAACCATTTCTCTCATGGTTGAACAGTTTGGCAAAATGTTCGGTTTCAGTTTTAATTTTTCTTGAAACACTAGAACTAGATACCAAGAGGCTAAAAATGACTAATCAGTTTTACTTACGCTTTTCCAGTTTCTAGTATGCTTTTACACTCGATTCTAGCAAGTTCTGTATTAATGACAAAAAGAAAGAAAAAAGACTTTGAAATCATGAAAATCCATGTTCAAGTGAGTTTGATTCAGAATTATGTTAATCTATCCTGTTAAATGTTGACTCATTCATTAATCTGGCTTAACTTCTATGTTACTTCAACTCTTCTTTTTCTTAGAATAACCATGTCTGATACATATCAGAACATAAGCACAGGAATATAATCCTACAAGAACCCTCCAAATACAAGGAAAACAGGGAAAAATTGAATGTATCCATGTCAGACAAATCTAAATCATGAAACATTGCTTAATTCTGTGAGTTCAATACATAAGCCTATTTCTCTATTAGAGATTGTTACTTCTTAGAAACAATATTACTGATTCTCACCTCTCAGACAGCCATTTTCACTACTGATTTTACTTATTCACAATAATCTCACTAATTATATCACTATCTTTATAGGCTCATGAAGCTTTTAACTCCCACATGATATTACTACATTTTAGCTTCATGTTGGAGTATCTCTTCATCTTAACATATTTGAATGCTTAAAATTTTACTATGATACATTATAAACCGAGTGCAAATTTTTCAATATACTATGCTTCATATTATTATTTTTTTATTGAATTTTAGCATTATATTTTTAATTTCATGTTTTAATCAGAAGTAATAAAATCGAGAACAGAATATGAATCCAACAAACATACGTTTCACATTCTATCGAACCTGGATTCGATAACATGAAAACAAAATTCTTCCACATCATATTCTGCTAATAAACAATCAAACCCTTACCCTTAAACTTAGGGGGATAAATTGTAAGTTAGAACTTAGAACCCTAATTTCTACTTTTTTTATCAGGAGATCGAGATAGCCATCCAAAATCATAAAAATTAAATTCAGATCTGAGCAACTGAAGAGAGCATTTATGGAAATCGAAGTACCTGACGGCTTCCGTTCGAAGAAGATGAAGCGAGAATCGCTCTTTTAGTTTTTTATTTCTTCGAGAAGTAACCAGAGTTAAATTTTCAGCTATTTTGGGGGTTTCTGATAAGTATCTTTGCAGTGTTTTCTACGATAGAAGACCAAAAGAGAAAGAGATTGAATGGTATAAGCATATGGCTTTTTTTTAAAAAAAAAATTAGGATTAAAATAAAATAAATAGCTTTTGTTTGGTTAAATTTTAGTTCTTAATTATTTAAATTTAAGAATATTTTAATTATCAATTTATTTATTTATTTTATAATTATCATTTTATTTACTTATTATATTAATAAATCATACCTAATGTATTATCGATATTAAAATCTCATATCTATCTATAAATCATATTCTACCATTTTATAAGTAAAATTTAAAGAAAATTAGGAACTCATAAATAAATATCATATATAATTAAGGGTAAACTACGAGTTTAATATCTAAACTATTAGTTTTTATCCGTTTTAGTATCTAAACTTTCATTTTTTTCAAAATCATACCTAACGTTTAGTTTTTGTTTCATTTTAGTACCCTACCGTTAAAAAATTAACGGATGAACTGACGTGACATAGCTATGGTGAATAGGCGAACAGTTTGAATGGTGGGCTACGAGAGAATGACCAACATAGTTTAGTTTCAGGCTCATCAACGGTGGATCATGGATATTATATGATGAAGAAATCGAATAATCAATCGTCGATTTGGGGAAATTGAGGCATTTTCAGGTGAAACGAAGAGGGAATATTATGATGTTGATTAATTCTAATTATATATAATATACTTATAGATATATATAAGTAAACTTTACAATGTTTTTAATAAATCAAATATCATTTAAAATTATATCGTATATTTATAATATTATGTTTTTAAATAATGAATTCCGAAAGAAAATATTGATGAGAATAAGTAGTCAAGAAAATAATAGAAAGAGAATTTGTAAAGAATTACAGTTTGGAGAATCAAATTGAATGAAACTTAAAGTTGAGAGACTAAATTGAAAGAAAAGGAAATTTATTATAAAAAAAGGAAGAATTGAAATTCCACAACTATTACAAGGTAATTGAGAAGGATACGATTTCAAAAATAAACTTAAAACGAAATTAAAAAAATAAGAAAATTAAGAGCAAAATTACTTAACTAAAAACTAAAACCTCATTTCAATTATACAAATGTTGAAAAAACAAATGCACCGAAAGTGCATTGGATTATTAGGCACCGAAAGTGGTGCAGTTTTTGTTGATTTTTAGGTATGGGTAAAATCTCAAATTTAGTCATTGTAATTTAGGGTATTTATAAAATTAGTCCTTAAGCTTCAACTATAAATACCCTAGCTCATTTAGCTTCAAAAACATCCCAAAGCATTCTAGCTTTCTTCCAATACTAGAGAGAATTTAGAGATTTTCTTGAGAGTTGTTTTCTCCTTTTTATTGAGAGAGAATTATCATTGTTTTCTCCTTGGTAGATCGAGAGAGGTTGTAATTCCTATTTTCTCATAGTGAAATTCTTCTACCGTTGCCCGTAGTTTTTACCTTATTTTATTTAGGGGTTTTCCACGTAAATTTTGTGTCTCTTTTTTATCTTCATTTTTATTTTCTCAAATTATCAGTTGCGATTTTGCTCTATCCGATAACCGTCTTCCGCAATAATTGGTATCAGAGCTAGATTAGAGTGTGTAATATCTGCTTATTGTCTTTGTGGTTGCCACCAAAAGGTGGATCCTCCAACATAAGAAAATAAGAAGTTATTACCCATTCTTTGAAGGTTTCAGAGAACTATTCACGATAGTGAAATAGTGGGAGCTATCCGTAAACGAAGTAATGGCAACGAAATTTGATATTGAAAAGTTCAATGGGAGAAATTTCTCATTGTGAAAATTAAAGATGAAGGCCATCCTAAGGAAAGACGGGTGTCTAGCGGCTATCAATGAAAGGTCGGTGGATTTCGCAGATGACATCAAATGGAACGAGATGGACGAGAATGCTATGGCAAACTTTCATCTAGCATTAGCAGATGAAGTATTGTCAAGCATCGAGGAGAAGAAGACAGCTAAGGAGATATGGGATCATCTCATCAAATTGTACGAGGCCACATCGCTGCACAATGAAATTTTCCTTAAGAGGAAATTGTACACTCTCCGTACGCCAGAATCTACTTCAGTGACGGAGCACTTAAATACACTGAACACCTTATTTTCTCAGCTTACATCCTTAAGCTGTAAAATAGGAGAACAAGAACGTGGTGAACTTCTACTTCAAAGTCTACCGGATTCGTACGATCAACTCATCATCAACTTGACAAACAGTAATGTCACCAGTCTAGTCTTCGATGACGTTGCAGTTGCTGTTCTACAAGAAGAAAATCGGCGCAAGAACAAGGAAGACAGACAAGTAAATCTGCAGCAAGCAGAAGCGTTGACAACGATGAGAGGGATATCAACAGAACGTGGCCAAAGCAGCAGTCATAAACATGGTAGATCGAAGTCGAGGAGCAAGAAGAATTTAAAGTGCTACCACTGTGGAAAGAAGGGTCACTTGAAGAAGGATTGTTGGAGTCTAAATAAAAACTTCAATCCACAAGGCAATACCGCAAATACTTCAGATGATGGAGATACTCTATGCTGTGAAGCGTCAACCACCGTGGAAGGCAGAAAAAGATTTGCAGATATATGGCTCATTGATTCGGGAGCGACATATCACATGACCTCAAGAAGAGAATGGTTCCATCATTATGAAACTGTCTCAGGAGGATCTGTGTATAGTTGCAATGATCATGCCTTAGAGATCGTTGGTGTGGGAACCATCAAATTGAAGATGTATGATGGAACAATTAAAGTTGTTCGAGATGTGCGGCACGTGAAAGGTCTGAAGAAAAATTTATTATCCTACGGATTGTTGGATAATAATGCTAGCAAGATTGAAACACGGAAAGGAATCATGAAGGTGTTCCGTGGAGCGCTTGTGGTGCTGAAAGGTGAAAAGATAGCTGCAGACTTGTACATGCTGAAGGGAGAGACATTGCTAGAAGCAGAAGCCTCTGTTGCCTCATGTAGTTCAGATTCTGCAATGCTATGGCATAAGAAACTTGGACACATGTCAGAACAAGGAATGAAAATCCTTGTGGAGCAAAAGCTACTTCCAGGCTTAACAAAGGTATCACTTCCTTTGTGTGAGCATTGCATAACAAGTAAGCAGCACCGGTTGAAATTCAACACATCAAATTCTAGAGGCAAAAGTATTCTAGAATTGGTTCACTCTAACATATGGCAAGCACCAGTAACGTCTCTAGGTGGAGCAAAATATTTTGTCTCATTTATTGATGACTACTCCAGGAGATGTTGGGTGCACCCTATTAAGAAGAAGTCAGACGTGTTTTCAACTTTCAAAAACTTCAAAGCGCGGGTGGAACTTGATTCTGGAAATAAGATCACGTGTTTCAGAACATATAATGGAGGAGAATACACAAGCGAAGAATTTGATGACTTTTGCAGGAAAGAAGGCATCAAAAGACAGTTCACAGTGGCGAACACTCCTCAACAAAATGGAGTGGCAGAGCGGATGAACAGAACCTTGTTAGAAAGAACAAGAGCAATGTTGAGGGACGCAGGCCTAGAAAAATCATTCTGGGCAGAATCAGTCAATACCGCCTGTTATTTGGTGAATCGAGCTCCATCAACTGCAATAGAGCTGAAGACACCAATGGAGATGTGGACTGGTAAACCAGTTGATTATTCAAACCTCCATGTATTTGGAAGTATTGTGTACGTGATGTACAACGCCCAAGAAATTTCAAAGCTGGATCCAAAATCCAGAAAATGCAAATTCTTGGGGTATGCTGATGGAGTAAAGGGGTATCGCTTGTGGGATCTCACTGCCCGCAAAGTGATCATTAGCAGGGATGTTATCTTTGTAGAAGATAAGCTACAAAGAAAAGAAGACAATGGCAGCGCTAAAAAGTCAGAGACTACACAGATACATGTAGAAAAGGAGTTTGAACAAGGAGATTCTTCTGAAGCAGAACCAGCACATGATGAACAAGAACTAGAGAGTTCTGAAGCTCCAACAACTCGTCAATCAGATCGTGTGAGAAGACATCCCAATTGGCACTCAGATTATGTTATAGAAGGAAATGTTGCATACTGTCTTTTAACAGAGGATGGTGAGCCATCAACATATCAGGAGGCAATAAACAGCTCAGATGCTTCACTGTGGATGATGGCGGTGCAAGAAGAAATCGAAGCCCTTCATAAAAATAATACATGGGACCTTGTGCCACTACCACAAGGAAGGAAGCCAATTGGTAACAAATGGGTTTTCAAAATCAAGCGAAATGGTGACGATAAAGTGAAGAGGTATCGTGCAAGACTGGTGGTCAAAGGATATGCTCAGAAAGAAGGTATTGATTTCAATGAAATTTTTTCTCCTGTGGTTCGACTAACAACAGTTCGAGTAGTCTTGGCAATGTGTGCTACATTGAATTTACATCTGGAACAGCTAGATGTTAAAACAGCTTTTCTTCATGGAAATCTTGAAGAAGAGATTTATATGCTCTAGCCTGAAGGTTTTGAAGAAGACGAAAAGAAGAACTTGGTTTGCAGGTTGAACAAATCTCTGTACGGTCTAAAGCAGGCGTCGAGGTGTTGGTATAAGAGATTTGATTCCTTCATTATGTGCCTTGGATACAACAGACTTAATGCAGATCCTTGTGCTTATTTAAAGAGGTCTGGTGATAACGATTTTGTTATATTGCTGTTGTATGTGGATGACATATTGGTTGCAGGACCCAACAAAGATCATATTGAAGAATTGAAGGCACAACTGGCTAGGGAATTTGAAATGAAGGACTTGGGATCAGCAAACAAGATTCTAGGGATGCAAATTCACCGAGACAGAAGTAATAGGAACATTTGGTTTTCACAAAAGAATTACTTGAAGAAGATCTTGTCACGATTCAACATGCAAGATTGTAAGCCAATTTCTACCTCTCTTCCTATTAACTTCAAATTATCCTCCAGTATGAGTCCTAGCAGTGAAGAAGAGAGGATGGAGATGTCTTGAGTACCGTATGCATCAGCAGTGGGAAGTTTAATGTTCGCTATGATATGCACAAGACCAGACATTGCACAAGCAGTAGGAGTGGTTAGTCGGTACATGGCGAATCCAGGCAAAGAGCATTGGAATATTGTAAAGAGGATCCTAAGATACATCAAAGGGACCTCAAATGTTGCATTATGTTACGGAGGATCAAACTTACTAATCAATGGGTATGTAGATTCTGACTATGCAGGGGATTTGGATAAAAGCAAATCTACTACAGGATATGTGTTCAAAGTTGCTGGTGGAGCTGTAAGCTGGGTTTCAAAATTGCAGTCAGTTGTGGCTACATCCACAACAGAGGCAGAATATGTAGCAGCTACACAAGCCAGTAAAGAAGCAATTTGGTTGAAGATGCTATTGGAGGAGCTTGGGCACAATCAAGAGTATGTCTCTCTGTTTTGTGACAGTCAAAGCGCCTTGCATTTAGCAAGGAATCCAACATTTCATTCAAGGACAAAACACATATGAGTTCAATACCATTTCATTCGTGAAAATGTGGAAGAAGAGACGATAAATATGCAGAAGATCTATACCAAAGACAACATAGCAGATTTTATGACGAAGGCGATCAATACTGATAAATTTACTTGGTGTCGATCCTCCTGTGGCCTGTCAGAAACGTAAGCAACATGAAGGTACAAGGTAGAAAGAATGGTGTGAAGATATGATTGTTCCAATCAAATCTTCAAGTGGGAGATTGTTGAAAAAACAAATGCACCGAAAGTGCATTGGATTATTAGGCACCGAAAGTGCATTGGATTATTAGGCACCGAAAGTGGTGCAATTTTTGTTGATTTTTAGGTATGGGTAAAACCTCAAATTTAGTCATTGTAATTTAGGGTATTTACAAATTAGTCCTTAAGCTTCAACTATAAATACCCTAGCTCATTTAGCTTCAAAAACCATCTCAAAGCATTCTAGCTTTCTTCCAATACTAGAGAGAATTTAGAGAGTTTCTTGAGAGTTGTTTTCTCCTTTTTATTAAGAGAGAATTATCATTGTTTTCTCCTTGGTAGATCGAGAGAGGTTGTAATTCCTATTTTCTCATAGTGAAATTCTTCTACCGTTGCCCGTGGTTTTTACCCTATTTTATTTAGGGGTTTTCCACGTAAATTTTGTATCTCTTTTTATCTTCATTTTTATTTTCTCAAATTATCAGTTGCGATTTTGCTCTATCCGATAGCCGTCTTCCGCAACAACAAATACAAATCCAATTTTTATTTTTTAATTGACTGAAATAATTCGAAATTAGAAAAATATTTTCTAATCAAAATGAAAAATAATCGACGAGAAAGACGAAATTTGCACCTTCTGCTTGACAATGTTAACATGGCAAAGATAATAAGGCCGATGGCCATTTCAAGTGGAATGGTTAATAGTTTAATATATATATATATATGTATGTACACCTAATGATACACAGCATAGCAGAAAGACATCTCATGTCTCATCCGGCTGTGGCTCAAGTTACGGGGATCTTCTCCTTATGATCACCACGCAAGACCTCCACGGTAACCTGTGAGAGTGAAGATAGGAAAGTTAGAGCTTCCAAAACATACGAAGAATACGAGTACTGTATGGGCGGTATTCGATTGCATACCTTATCTCCGACTTTGCATTGGTCAAGAATTCTGTACAAGTCCGTGCCATTGGTGACCTTCTTTCCATTAACGGATGTTATTATATCACCCAAAATGAGTCTACCATAGGCATCGCGCTTTGTTGGTCGCAAACCCTGTTATATATTAAAGGTTTAGTTGTCAGCTCCACATTGAAATGTAACGATCTTCAATAACACATGAAAGTCCGATGCAGAAAACACATACCGCCTTGCCGGCTGGACCATTTGCAGGAGCATCCAAGACGAGCACGCCGCTTACTCCCAATTGCTCGACAGATTGATCGGGTGCAAATTTAATCCCTAAAATAGGTCTTGTCACTTTCCCAAACTTCACCAACTGATCAACGATGCCACTAACCTGTACATGTAGGAGTAGCTGGACGAATTAATCTCAATGAAGGGAAATAAAACAAATACATTCTAGCATCTTCTCATCACACAGATCAAAATACAACGAAACAAAGTCTATGTAATACTCACTGTGTCGATTGGAATCGAAAATCCAACACCAGAAGGTGAATATATAGCAGTGTTTATCCCGATAAGGTTTCCCAAACTATCGAGGAGCGGACCTCCACTATTACCAGGATTAATTGCAGCATCTGTCTGTATAACATCTTGAATCGGCCGACCTGTTGCTGCAGAACTGATCTCTCTGCGAAGTCCACTAGGTAATATAAACGAAGCATTAGCCAAACCGAAATTTATGTAGAAACCAGCAAAAGTAGGAGGAAACTTAAATATGACATATCAGCCACAAACCGTTGGTCTTCAGTACCTGATAACACCAGTTGTAAGAGTATGATCGAGTCCAAACTGCATGAACATGTGAAAGAAAAATCAGAAATCCACTCGAAGAAACAATCGAAGAGCTAGAAAATTAACACCAAAAGCACATGATCATTAGATCTTTTGATCAGGCACATAAAGACCACATAACTAGTGAGGACAACACTTTTAGTATTCAAATTCATCTATGCTGCATGGAATCTTCTATTTTCTTTATGTATCTGCGTCTGGTGCATGTCCGGACATAGGTATGAGGATATGATACTCGAACGAACGTAAAAATAGAAATGCCCGCCCTTGGAACATATTATATCTGACACTTACGCCCTAGCATAAACTTTTTGGCCGACAAATAAACATGTACTCACCGGGTTACCAATAGCATAAACTTTCTGGCCAACAAGTAAATCTGCCGAGGTACCCACGGGAACAGGTCTTAGTTTGTCTTTCGGTGCATCAACACGCAATACAGAGACATCCTTATCTCGGTCAAAGCCAACAACTTTCGCATCGTAAGTCGACTGATCAGCAAAAGTAACCCTGCAAGTGATGAGCACCAATTTAAAACTTCAAATATGAAGAACAAGAAGGTTAACCTTTATGTATAGTTACGATGGCGAGCTTCCGCTTATATGTGATGATAGCAACTAAATCAAGCTCAAAATCTCCAAATTAATGGCATATTTCTTCAAAGTTATATTATGCACTCTCCCATGGCTCTAACAGTGTAATTAATAAAAGAACTAACTTGAGATCAGAAGCACCACGGATCACATGATAATTGGTGACAACGTGACCATCTTTGTCCCAAACGAAACCCGACCCGGATCCTTGTGGCACCTCCAGCAAATACAATGTAAAAGCGTCCTGCCTGGAAAAACAACCCATTACCCAAAATAAGAAACTTTAGAAAGGGAAAATTTCACGTTTGAATAAACCTGGCGGCGAGATTGGTGATATTAACAACGGAGGGAGTATTCTCTTGAAAAAGGCGAACCGTAGCCAACTCATCGGGTTGTAACTTCCGAGGAGGGGTTACCACAACGGAGGGAGTATTCTCTTGAAAAAGGCGAACCGTAGCCAACTCATCGGGTTGTAACTTCCGAGGAGGGGTTACCACAAAGGCTGAGGCTGCTTCCACGTCGGTTACAAATAACGAGAAAGAGAGAGCGAGTGAAGTGCAGAGAATAAAGAAGGAATCGATAACTGAAGAAACGATGCAATTATTACTAGAGTTACTGTTAGGAATATGATTGTTTTTGGACTGAATGAAACAGAGACTGTGGAAAGAAGGGATAGAGAATTTATTGGTTGGAAAGAGAGAAGGTTTCGAAGTTGAAGTGAGAGAGAGACGAGGGAGCTTTGGGGTTCTGTTTGGTGAGCGAGAAAATGAGGAGGAAAGGGATGGGGATTGGAGGGAAAGTGCGTGAAGGAGTGAAGGAACTGCCATCTTTTAATTAGCTGACTGGTTTGGACTCCTCGCAGCAATATTAGTTATTGAAGTTATTCGCTTCTCTCTTCAAGCTTTAAAATTTTAAAAATTTCACTTTCATGAATTAATAACACACCTTGTCTTTGCAGACATCAAAATATATGTGCTGATGATATTGTTTTCCTGTAGTTTCTTATTACAAAAGGCAAATTATGTTTCAGAAGCGCAGAAGGATTGAGAACGTTCGAGACAAAGATATGTTATCCATCAAACAAGCTATACTGTCCAAAAACATAGTTGTCAAGGATGAGAATGGTACGAAATTAGTTCCAAACTACAAGAAACAACAAGATGCATAAACAGAGAAAATGGGAAAATGGAAGGCTGGTTTAAAACTCCGTGATTTATCTGCAACCGAGAGCGATCTGAACATGGAGGATCCATTTCTTGATGGAAGTGATCGATGATTTCGATATCAGTAAGCCATTTTCTTACCTTCAGTTTCTTGCATCATCCAAGTTTGTTCAAAGAAACGAACAGGCAACGTTTTTTTTTTCCTTTTTTTCTTTTTTTGTAAATATCAGTTGTTTCACGTCTCCTTGTTTTGTTTAAGGAATTCAAGGTCTTTCATTTGCATTTGTACAGCTTCCTTTGACAATGGCTTTGGTTCCGGAACAATGTCTGCATCATCACCACCTTCTGCTACTTTGATTGCCTTCTCCTTGATGATTTTTTGAATCGTTGATTGCTCAACGGTTGGGAAAACTGCTCTTAGCATGATGTCAAGCAAGCTCTCCTCTTCCTCTTCGATCGGATCTCTCCCGAAGCAACAGACATAAATCGCATCGACGGCCTTTTCAGCTCGAATCACCATGGGAAGATTTGGGGCACCAGCATTCAACTTCGCTCTTCTCTGTAGCAAGTATATCAGTAACAGTACATACATTTGAAAGAAGCTTAAATGAGAATAAAAAACTCCATGAGATGAATTTGAAATGGGATAATACGAACAAGATGAACTCACCTCTCTTGCTTCATTCATCATTGCAATAAAATTCTGCTCTTCAAATTCGATATCATTCGAAATCCGAAGCCTTGCCACACCCTCCAATATCTCCTCGGATTTAAGAAGACCAGCACCCACAGCTGCTAGCCAACAACATAGCAGAACATACAGAGGATCCCCTGCCTGTCCAAAAACACAAAACCCCATCCCAAAATCACCATTAATTTCATGTTAGAACATACGAAACTCCGATACCAAGTTACAGCATAACAATACGAGAGAAGACAATATCAAAATAACACAAAACAAAAATACCCAAAACACAACGTTATATATATAATACTGCAGTTTTGTATGTCACACCAGAAAGGAGAAAATATTTGTGCAAAATAAGTTCAAAAAGTGAAGAAAATTACCCGGCCTCTCCTCTGTTGGAACTCATAAAAGGCTCTGGAATCAGTAACGGTACATTTCTTGCCGACCCTTCTTCTAAATTCAGCAAAATCAATGATATCTCCACCAACACCACCTTCATCGCTGAAAATCCTGGCGACAAGCCCGATTATAGGGAGAGAACCGATGACTTTGTTAGCGAAACCGGAGATGGAGTTTGGGTTCTCCATGTAAGCTTTGATAACATAGCTGTAGGCGCCATTGAAGGAGCTTGAATGTCTTCGCCTTTGTTGTGGTTGTTGGCTTATTGGGTTGTTGTAGCGTTGACTGAAATGAAGAAAGGAAGGTGAAATTTGGTTGCATGAAGAGAGAACTTTGTGAGCGTGAAGAGATGATGCTGCTACCATGACCATCGATGTCTGTTCGAATTACGATGCTGTGTTTTCAGCCGCACGTTTATAAATATGTTATCCTACCCATTAAACTAATAGGGTAAAGTATAAAAATAGTCTGCAAACTTTTAGGCTTCTTGCATTTTGGTCACTCAATTTTTGAAACTTACAATACAATTATTAAACTTTTAGTTTGTTTTCAGTAAGGTTCATGTCATTACCTCATGTTAGTTTTTGCTGATGTAGCACCTAACTCTCGTCAACCCTGATAACCACCTTCTTCTCCTCTTTCTCTCACACCTCCGATCACCCCACTTCCGGTCAGTAGCGGCTCACATTGCCATCGCTATTGTTACTGGCATCGCCTCCCGACCATACCCGACCCTTGATTCATACTCATAATCAACCGTTCATCTCAAATCACGAGAAGATCATTCGAACACCCATCCCCGATCTTCGTCATCAGTTACCAATGACTGTCATCACCAGTTATAGTAAGAGTGTCGCCCTATTCCAACCAAAACTCCGCAAGCCAATCGTCGAGACCCACCTCTATTCCTCGTGGAGATGACCCCGAATCTCGTCAAAAAACTCAAATGCACATTTTTTGTTTCATTGATTTTTGGTCGATTGGGTCATCCGTTTACCACACCACCGTTGGAGTCCTCACGCCGTTCCAATCAAAATCCAGTTGATCATGCATCCTCCTCGTCCCTCCTCCGTCTATCATTGGTTAAAAAGAATGAGAAAAAAATAAGAAGAATAAGAATAAGGGGTTGACGGGGTTAGGTGACACGCTAGCAAAAACTAACGGGAGATAATGACAAGGACCATACTGAAAATAAACTAAAAATTTGATGATTGTATTGTAAGTTTCAAAAGTTAAGTGACCAAAGTAGAAACATTCTAAAAGTTTGGAGACTATTTATATACTTTATCCAAACTAATAAACTCTCTTATCTTTTCACAATATATTGGAGTAAATTTACTCACTGAACTTTACTCCCTTTTATTTCACTCACTTTACTTTTAATTTATTCAATTTACTCATTGAATTTTATACATTGATTTTTTTATCAATTCGCCGTTAAATAATTAATCACGTTATGACGTGTCAAATTATATCAAAATGACGTAGTTTTGGATATCTAAAAAATTAAATTTTAATCAAAACGACATCGTTTTAATTTAAATAAAAAAAATTATATTTCTTTTTTCCCTTTATTTTCTCCCTTTTATTTCTTCTTCTTCCTCCTCCTATTTCTCTCATATTTCTGTTCTTGATCAGTTTTCCTTTGAAAAACCAAAGGTTTCTTCCATATTTCCAGCATATGAGAAAGTTCCTCTCCATTACCTAGTTTTACTAAACTCGTTGTCCTCCTTCTCTCTAACCATTTCAGAAACAGTTCTATTCAAATCTCATTTTAATTCATGAGCTTTCCTTTTGAAAATGACGCACAAGCAGTAGCCAGAAGAACAATATATATATATATATATATATACGTATAGACATGCTAATCTTAGTATCCAATCTCAAATTACTGACTAAATCACTACTTCTGAATATCATTTCTACGATAAAAATCATCTTTAAACCCAATATTCCCATGAATGTATGATTAAGCTTTTCTGAATAAAAAAAATCAGAGAAGCGTTATAAGTTTTAAGCTTTTCTCTCTCAATGTTCATTGAAAAAGAGGTAACTCAATATGTTTCTTCTCTGTTTTGGTATTTTCATTTCTGGATTTTAGAGAGAACAAACATGATTCATTGTGATTTGTTTTGTTCTTGGAGCAGATTTACATGATCTCCATTGGAGTTGCTTGTGAATTTTCATAGCCTTCCGACTAATTGTTAGCACTATGATTTGGATGTTTAGGGTTTTGGGTGTAAATTTTAATTAATTTTTTTAAAAAATTATTTTTTATTTTATTAAATATAAATATTATGTGGCATCTTATGTGATTGGATTGTAATATTAAAATAAGTCATATTATAATGTCGTTATAGAATTAACGGGTGAGTGATAAAAAATTATAATGTATAAAGTTTACTGAATAAATTGAAGAAAAAAAAATAAAAATATAGTGAGTGAAATAGAATAGAGAGTAAAATATAGTGAGCAAATTTATAACTTACCCTATATATTTTGTATTTCTATTTTTTTAATTCTACTTAAAAGATAGTAAAAACTTGAAGATAAAAACTCTATTAACAATTGTAATTGTAAAATCTAAGGTATTGAGCATAGCATTGAATATGGACCGAGTTCGAGCAAATGTAATTTTAAATTTAATTTTAAAATTTATTGAAAAAAATATGCTTCTCTCTTGTTCCTAAACAGTGGTAGTAATTCGGTAAATGCAACACTCCCAGTAATGAACCAGAAGTGATTCGGGTACAGTTTTAAATGAACAATATCCCTTCTGCTGGCAGTTTAGACTCAATCCAGATATGCTGCTCATTACCTGGATGTAACAATTGCACGACAACTAATTAGGAGTGTTTATTAAGTGAATAGATCGTGAGTTGAATAGTATTTCGTTCGTGCTCGTTAAAAAATTTATTATTCGATTCGAGTCGTTGCTCGTTATTAGACTTATTAGTCATTACTCAACTCATTATTTGTTACTCGACTTATTATTTGTTAAACTCACTAAAATTTTTATCTTATTTTTAATTATGTGTGAAATCTAATAAATTAATAATCTAATATAATTATGATTTTTTATTAAAATATTAATAAAATTATCAAAAATTATTAATTAATAATCTAAATCTTTCTTATTGAATGAAAAAGTTGGATTCGAGCAGTTGTGCAACCAAACAATGTAAAAATCGATCTAATTATTTTTACTTTTTATTAATTTTGTTGAAACTCGTAATCTCCCATCATATCGATACTTTTCGCCAAGAGGGGGAGAACGAGAAAGAGAGATGGCGTAGAGTGAGCAACGGCGGGTGCGTGTGAGGAGCGATCAACGACATGTGAGTAAGAGGTTTGAGAGTGCTAGAGGTGGAGCGGTGAGAACAGATCAGACGTCGATGAACTTTTCTGTCTTTGTCAATAATGTGAGCAAGAGGATTCATCCGTCATCTCTTAAGGAAGCTTTCATGGAATATGGTGTAGTGTCTGATGTGTTCATAGCATTTAGAAGCAGAAGGAGACTTTACGATAAATCCAATTTTGCGTTCGTGAGGTTCAAAAGCAAGCAAGAAGCTAGAGTAGCGGTCAGGAAGGCCGACGGGCGGCTGATGGATGGGTTCAAAAGGAGTGAGCAACGGCGGCTGCGTGTGAGGAGCGATCAACGGCATGTGAGTAAGAGGTTTGAGAGTGCAAGAGGTGGAGCAGTGAGAACAGATCAGACGTCGATGAACTTTTATGTCTTTGTCAATAATGTGAGCAAGAGGATTCATCTGTCATCTCTTAAGGAAGCTTTCATGGAATATGGTGTAGTGTCTGATGTGTTCATATCATTTAGAAGCATAAGGAGACTTTACGATAAATCCACTTTTGCGTTCGTGAGGTTCAAAAGCAAGCAAAAAGTTAGAGTAGCGGTCAGGAAGGCCGATGGGCGGCTGATGGATGGGTTCAAAATTAAAGTCTACCATGATAAATCTGTGATTTCAAAAAGCAACAGAATATAATCAGATTTAAGGTTCAGATATGAGTCTGGTAAGTCGGTGAAGGGGAAGTGGAAGCCAGCCTTGCGTGATTCTAGGTCTTATAAGGATGCCTTGGGCAGTTGATTTGATGAAATAGGTATGTCCTCAGATAAAGTATTAGAGAACCAGCAGTTGAAGATTGCAGACTCGGGTGCAGTTATTCATGTCAGGTTTGCAGAAGACCACGCTTCAAACTCAATTCGGATGAATCTAGCAGCGGGTTCAAGTTTAGTGGTTCCTAAGAATGATTTGAGGTAGAGAGAGTGTTGTTTGGTTAGAAAAATCAAAAGGATGTTCAATGAGGATATCATTCATACAGTTTTTACAGTGGAAGGTTTTGATGTAAAGGTTAGTGTGTGGCTCGACATGCTGGTGGTTATTCAGTTTAAGGGGGTAGCGGAGCGTTCGACATGCTGGGTCATAAGAGAAGAATAGATTCGTACCTGGTTTGATGAGTTGGAACTTTTAGAAGGGTATGAGCAGAAACTCAAAAGGAAATTATGGGTTATCTTAAAAGATGTCCCACTATTAGTGTGGTGTGATCAGTTCTTCATCGGATTAAGGAATAAGTGGGGTTCTGTTATCTCTATTCATGATGAAACTAGTAATAAAGTTCGTTTTAATGAAGCCATAATTCTTGTGGAAGTGCCTAATGCTTTGTTGATTCCGGACAGATGCACTGTTATTATTAATGGTAGGGCGTTTTCTATTAAAATCATTACAGATGATCATGAAGAAGATAGAGTCTTATTTGACGGTACACCGAAGGGCGGTGGAGAGATGTCTCCAGAAGGTGATGGAGATTCCCAGTTTCCTAGGCTGCAGGAGAACTTTGCGGCTTCTGTTGGCTTCGAGGAGGACCTTATGGAAGAAAGCTTTAATAAATCACGAAGTCAGATGTGTGTAAAAGGTGATCTGAAAAGCTGGTCCCCGCATGTAGATTTTCCTGAGGGTAATGTGGAGGTTGTCGGGGATGACTTGCATGACGTGCTCATTCGGTCTAACGATGGGCCTATTTTCCAAATGGTGGATAATAGCATCGATTTTGTGGACATTAATAGAGAGCAAGCCCAGTGTGGGATGACCCAATCTATTTCTAATAGTTCTAGATTAGTTGACGTTCCAATAATCCAAGACTCTTCTCTGCTAGACCGTGTGGATAGAGGGCGGGGAGAAGATCCTATCGTTAACTTAGATAATTTTCCAGTCAATTTAGATGGTGGTTTTAATTTTACAGTGGACACTTCAGGAAAAGGGGTGAATAATGTCTCTTCCACGCAAAATGGCAGAAAGGTTCGTTGTAGAAAGAAATCTATGCAGAAGATGAAGACTGCGAGGATCAGTAGGGCGAAGTCTAATGCCAAAAAACTGTCCGAGGGGGTTAGTGCTTCCAGTGGGGTCAATTTTGATCAGACTATGGGGAGTGAGAATGAAGCCGAGGCAACCTTAGCAGTGGCCAATTCTTTGGGCGTGCAATTTGACGCTCCTTCGAAGAGGACGATTGAGAGATTGAGGAAATATGTCCAATCGGGTAAGCATTGATTCGGATTTGTTCTTGGGTGTTAAGTGTGTGTGATTGGTAGTTTTTTATGGTATTAGATTTTTCTATCTTGTCGTGGAATATTAGAGGGTTAGGAAGGAGTGAGAAAGTGAGAGCAGTGTGTCGAGCGATAGAATTGAATAAAGCTAGGGTGGTGTTGCTACAGGAATCAAAATTGGGGAGCCTATCTGTTGGTATAGAGAGAAGGTTAAAGGGTCGGTTTGCTAGGGAGGTGGTTAGTGCTCCGACAGAGGGTGCTTCAGGGGGTTGATTTCTTTGTGGGACAGTGACGTTTTCAACGTTAAGTTACATAATGTTTTCAAGAGAGTCATTGTGTTAAAGGGTTTGCTTGTACAACATAATCAGGAAATAGACATCATTAATGTTTATGGTCCGAATATATATGGTGAAAGAGTGAGTTTCTTTGAGCAGTTAAATACTATTTTAGATATAAAATAACAGGTTATATTTGATTCTAACCCTAATTTTCTCTCATTTTCTTATGTCCTTGTTAGTGAGGGATGTCTAAGGAAAGACAACTTAATATATGGCTAAAAAAATATGCTACCAGAAATGTTAATATTTTTTAATATTTCTATTAGAGTGCTACCTAAAATGTTATTTTTTCTACCAGAAATGTTAATATCGGAAATATTCATTTTAAGTAACGAAATTAACATTTCATGTAGAAAAAAATAATATTTTAAGTAGCGCTCTACCGGAAATGTTAAAAAATATTAACATTTTCGGTAGCGCATTTCCTTAGCTTAATATTAAGCTGTTGTACAACAAAATTACCCCATTGTTTGTCATTTCTCTTCTTTATTTTTGTGACTGACGGCTACATTAGCCTTAATGTTGGTTGTTGACTGTCGATATTTATTATTATTATTTATTTTATTTTTATTCTATTATATATATATATATATATATATTTATTTTTCTTATTTTTTTATTTTTAATAATTTTGTTTTTATGATACAGTTCTCTTTGTCTTTATGACATATTTTTCCTGTTTTTAGGTACACTTTCGGTCGTTATTTTTGTTTATTATTTTTCTCAGGGGATTTTTCCTACTTTGGACTATCAAATTAGATTTGAATATATGATTTACATTTTTTGGATAGTTTTCTCATGTCGCTTGATTCTGATTTTCGGTTTGTCGGTTAATCTTTAAATAGCTTGATTCTCTTTTATAGTTTGTTTACCGATGCAGTTAAAACTGTTCACATATACATTTTTATTTGAGTTTATTTGATTAGGTTTTTTAACCTTTTTTTTATATGATCCTTATATAATTTTAAGATGCTAGTTTTTTGTATTAATGATTATAAGAAAATATCTTTATTATGTGTTTAGTTCAAAGTTGTGGTTGTAAACATTAATTGTAAACATTATTTAATTCAAATCCTAATTTTCGCTCATTTTCTTATGTCATTATTAGTCATTTATATTCTTTATCTTTGTAATGGACAACGACATTACTCTTAATGTTTGTTGTTGGCTATCGATATTCATTATTATTATTATTTTATTTTATTTTATTATATTTATATTTATTTTTTATTTTTAATAATTTTGTCTTTATGATACGATTCTCTCTGTCTTTATGACACGTTTTCTTATATCTTTTGATATATTTTCTTCGTTGTTTTTGTTTATTCTTTTTCTCATGGTTGGATTTGACATTGTCACGATTGATTATGATGCCACACTTTTGTTATCATGTTGATTTTTTCTGCTTTAGATCATTTGATTGGATTTGGATATGTGATTTGCATTCGTGAATAGTTTTATCACGTCGTTTGATTTTGATTTGCGATTTGTCAGTGATATTTCAATAGCTTGATCACTTTTTATAGTTCGTTTACCGATGAAATTAAATTTGTTTGTATCTACATTTTATTTGAGTTTATTTTGTTAGGATTTTTAACATTTTCCTTGTATGTGATCTTCGTATGATCTTAAGTGGTTAGCTTATTGTGTTAACAATTATAAGAAAATATCATTATTATGTGTTTAGTTTACGGTTGGAATTGTAAACCTTAATTGTAATTTAGATTTTATTTTTTATTTTTAATAAAATTAGTTGCTTCTATCTTGTTAAAAATATTATTTGACTCTTCAAACACCTCTAAATAAAAAATACAACTTGATAAGTGTAAAAATAATAATTTTTTTAAGATATTGTTTTAATATTTACAATAAACCATTTATTAATGAGCCAACAATTTTATGAATAAAAAAATGTTAAATAATAAAGGTATTCATTTGTCACCTTCAATTGTGGTACAGGAAGGAAGGAGCCCAGCTAAGAAGAGTCGAGGAATGGCATGGGAATTAAGAGTGCGAGCATCGATCAACACCGAATTGTCAACATATTTATGACATGCAAGCACATTCCTATTGGCATTATATTATTAATTTATCACCGGTTGAAAGCTACTGCTGATGAAGTAGGAGGGCTTACCTAATAATTTTCCCAGTTTAATCTGCTAACTAAGATCGTTTGCTAATTCAGGGTTTACTTTAGCGTGTATATATATATAAAATATTACAACGAGGCATAAGCAGATTTTTCAAAGATTTGATTCTATTAAATAGAAAGAAAAAAGAAAGTCTTGGAGAGCAGCGCCATGGAAGTGTTACCAAGCTTAGCCATGGTTGCAGTGGAGTTTTCAAACGTCGTCATCATAAGCATTCTGTTCAAAGCTGCTTCTTTGAAGGGGATGATCTATTACGTCTTCATTGCCTACTGTTATGTTTTAGCCGCCTTGGTTTTCATCCCTTTGTTCTTCTTTAGGTCTATCTTTTTTTTCTCTCTCTTGATTCTTTTCATTTTAACATTTTTGGTTTTGTACGTATTGTTTCTTCTTTGTTTAATGTCTGGTATGTTTGCAGAAGCACAGTGTTTCCTCCATGGAAGTTCCCTATCGTCTCTCTTTTTTGCTCCATGGTATTGCTGGGTATGGAAGTCTATACTATACATATACGGATGGACCGAAGGATTGACAAGCGATTTTATTCCTGAAAATTTTAAATTATCATATATTTTTTTATATTTTCTATTGAAAATATATTTTCGTTATTTAAAACTTCAAATATTTAGCTTTTTTAACATAAAATCTTACTTCATTCATTGTATGTACAAAAAAAAAAAGTAAAACCCTTGATTTGTTGATGTCTTTGAGACGGGTTTATAGGAAGTATATTCCAAAATAAAGGTATAGAACTTGGCTCTCCATTTCTTGCATCAGCCATTAGCAACCTCATGCCAGCTTTTACCTTCATACTTGCTGTCTTCTTCAGGTTTATTATTTCTTCTTCCCTTTTTTTTATTACAGAAAAATATACTGTAGTTTAAGCTAAATACCATCATGAATCAATTAGGGTTCTTCCTCTTTTTGGGTTTTCATCATGTATTCTTCTTCTTATTATTGGGGCTAATAATTAATCAGTATTTAGCTTAAGTCTTACTATGTTATTTTTTTCTTAATTTGATCTCTTCTTATCGACTTATTGTAATCGTATACGAGAAAAAAAAGCGACTTAATCAGACCATATCAAATTTAACAATACAAAAATATAAAAACAAAAAAAAAACGTTTTAAAATATAAAACAATCCTTAATTTTCATAATTTATGTTTTGAATTATATTTTTCAAAATTGTGATTATACTAGTTTTAATAGAAATAAAATTCATAAAATTATAATAAATGATAAATGATAAACGAAAAAGGAAAGTGGAAAAATCTTTAAAAAAAAGTACGAGTTTTTTTAAAAAAATGGATTTTTTAAAAGGGTTTTCTAATATTTCTAATATTTTAAAAGATTGTTAGTTATTGGAGTATATAATCTATTTTTATAATAATAACTATAATTAGATAAAGTGATATAATCATATAGTGATAATACAAGGGATGGATCTCAAAAAACAGAGTACAAGAACCAAATTAAGAACTAAAGTACGCATGTAATTAGCTATTGAACCTTATTATTATTAAAAAGGAATGTAGAGAAATTTAGGGTAAAGTACAAATTGTACTCGATTATAAGGTGTTATTTTGTTGAGTCTTCCGATCATTAAAAGTTACAAAATGATCTATCAACTATAGGTCATTACTTTTTTTAGTCATTCAATTAAAAATTACAAAATGGTCACTCGACTATTGATATATTTTAAACTTATCATTTTCTATTAAAAAATTGACAGTAGTCTAAGTTATTCGTTTACCTGTTGATCGAGATATGATAAAATCTGGTCTTAAAATCTCAAAAGAATATAAAGCTCAATGGTTGTGAGATCAGATTTTATAATATATTAGTTAGTAAGTTAGTGTTCAGCTTATATGACTGTAATTTTTTTTTTACGAAAAAAGACGAGTTTAGAAAATATAAATAATTGAATGACCATTTTATCACTTTTAATAGTTGAGGGACTCAACAAAACAATGTCATATAATTAGGGGACTTAGCAAAACTACGTCATAATGTATTTTATTAAATATACTCTTACTTCATATACCTTAAAGGAGACAATAATTTTTGTTCGTTTCTAACCCTATCAATTTATTCATTTAAATCTTTAAATTTTTATTACTTTAATTTGATGTTAATTATTTGTCATTTTCCGCCAAGCTATCATAAAATTTTGAAAGATACAAGAAATTATATTTTTCCTTATATAAATGCTTATATAAGCTTTTTCTTTCAAAATTATTAACATTTTTTTGAAAATTTTGATGCCAGAAAATGATAAAATAATTGATGTCAACATTTTAATAAAGATAAAATAATATTATTGTTATATCATGTTTGGGTATTTTTTGGAAAAAAAACAAAAGTACTAAGGCCAACAAGAATACAATAAAAGCTTAAGAGTTTAAATAATTAAAATAATTAAGTTAAGGACCAAAAATTTCATCGTTCCATTAAAAAGTGACATCTAGATTAGAAAATATTCTTAGTTGCATGAACCAAAAGACCTTAAATAAATTTACCGTTATTTTTTAAAGTTTTAGGTTCAAAAATCGCATGCTAAGGTATATGACCTTCATTGTTAGAAGATTAAAAGTCTTTAAAAAATATTCTCTTGTATTCATGCTATATTTATAAGAAAAAGATTCTCGGTTCAAAAAGAGAGATTTTTTTTTCATTTGCTTTAAGACTACTTTCCCAATTGGATAATAATCTAAGTAAAATCTGATAAATACATTTATATTTGGAGTAGTACATTATTTGATTGAAATCGATTCAATTAATGTAGGAGGAGCTCGGTTAAATTGATTAAACCGATTAGAAAAACCTAATGCTCACACTATTTATACCCAGGTGCGAATGCACTAAGCACCCGGTCAAGTGCATCTCATTATTTAAGGAAAAAAAATGAATTTTAGTATAATATATTATATAAAAATGGAACAAAGAAAAATTTTTGCACCCATTATTTTTAAGAAAATAAAATTAAAATTTTGGATCCCATTTATAAATTTCTGGATCCGCCACTGTTTATACCCATGAATTTTGTGCGTTAGGTCTTCGCCAGTGTATGTAATTTTTTTTCAGTATCGTGCTAGAATTTCATGTTTATGACCTTGTTTAGCTAGTTTCCTAACCCTCTTCCCTTCCTCGTCTTTGAACATCGGCCTGAATAAAAAGGATGGAAAAACTAGAACTCAAAAGAGCAGCAACTCAAGCTAAAATCATTGGCACCGTAGCATCAATATCTGGTGCATTTGTCATGATTTTCTACAAAGGCCCCATAATTATGTCATCATCACCTTCGTGGTCGTCATCCGTCCTACAACTTCAAAGGCCTTTGGAGTCTTCTCAAACTAATTGGATCATTGGTGGAATCCTTGAAACTCTTGCATATCTTCTTTATTCATACTGCTATATCAATCTGGTAATACACATGATTCCAAGATTCACCATAAATTCTTTAATACATAATGTTGTGGTTCCTTACCTATGCGCTTTACAACTGAACTCGAATTTGGTGCAACTTTACAGGCACAAACAATGAAGATATATCCAGATGAGTTTGTTGTAACCTTGTTTTACAACTTGTCTGTGGCCCTTTTAGCTATACCAGTAGGCTTGATTGCAGAACCACAGTTGAGTTCTTGGAGATTAACGTCGAGTGTATCAGTTGTTGCAGTCCTATTCACGGTAATACTTTGGTACTCGAATTCATTATTTGCAGTATTGGTATGTCACTTGTTTATGGCTGCTTGTTTAGGGGATATTCGGGTTCTCATTAAGCGCAGTTGTTCACACATGGTGTGTACGGTTGAAGGGGCCTGTGTTTGTTGCAATTTTCGCACCCACTTCGATTGTTATAGCTTCTGTTATGAGTGCCATATTCCTTGGCGAAGCAATTTATCTTGGAAGGTAATAGAAATCTATTGTTTAATTAAAAAAGAATAAGAGAAAGAACAAGGCTGAATAAAAAGTTGATGTTGCAGCGTGATAGGAGCGGTGATCATAACTGTTGGAGTCTATGTTGTGTTATGGGAAAAAGCAAAAGAAGCAGAAGAAAGGAGAGATGAAGAGTCCTGTGGCTTAACCGGGTTTGGACCCTCGTCTGATGGTCGGCTTCCATTGCTGCAGAGTTATAAAAATTGAAGAAAAGCGTAGGTAATGGCCACAATATTTTGTAATAATATTTGCATGATGCTTAAACTTAAACCTCAAAATCACTTGACACTAAACACTTACAAGACAATTATTTAAAATTAAACACTTGCAATCCTAATATTTATAGTGCTTAAACTTAGATCTCAAAATATAACAACAATTTTTTATTATTAAGATCATTTGATTCATATTATTTAATTATTATATTTTATTATATTTACAAAAAAATATAAATAATTTTAATAAAATTAATAATGTAAAATTCACTTACCAAATTATTTCAACCATAATATTTAATTACTTAGATCTCAAATTATTTCTTACTCGGCCCACTTTCCTTCTTTGGCATGCTTGCCTTAATCGGCGGCTACTTTAGATCCAAAATATTTTTGCGTGACTATGGAAATCATCACCCCTTTATTAAAAGAATACCAAAATATCCCTTTGTCCCACCATTATCTTTTCCTAAAACACCTTTTCCAGCAAAAAAAAAAAATCTTTTCTTAAAACACAAGCTCCGTCCTTCTCAAAGCTTCCTTCAAATCAAAGTTTCAAAGAGTTAAATAGAAAAACCATTTACATCTGAAAATGTAAAACATCTTTTTGAATCGAAAAACCGACGGTGTCTGCTACAAAATCAAACGGGTTTACATATATACATGTCCGAAAAGCACTGACATAAACCCATTTAAAAGAGCAAGAATAGCATAAGACTATTTTGCATAGTCAATCTGTGCAAATGTATGGCCGCTCTGCTCATCGTGTAGTTATCACAGGCGGATGGAAGTTCTTTGCACTTTCGAACAAATGTTTATCATATAGATTTGCCAGTATATCTTTACCAGTCAAGAACTAAAAAGCCTATGACTCGGTAAAGGTAATAAAAAGATTACTAACATAACCAAAGAAAACAGACAACCTGAGATCTTGTTGTTACGGACATAACTGAAGAAGAAAAAGAAGGGAGGCAGTGGAAATGTTGGATGGAACTACGAAGGTTATAAAGGCGGCCTCTAGGGCAACATTATTGTGATGGCAGCAGGATTAGGGCAGCGGGCAGAGTGTGTAGAAGGAAATTGAGGTTTGGGCAGACCATTTTAGCTGACCAAATAATAAAGAATTTGCCAACTTGCAGACAGGCTAACTTCGTCCTCACCTATGTTTAGTTCTCTAGATATCTCAAGTACCATCGTCGTGAGTACGGATTTGCATGAGCCCAATCGGGGTTTGACCGATCATATGTTATAATTATTATGTTAGTATCATAAACCATCACGTCAATCTCATGAGTCATTATGTTAATATCGTCAATTATTATGTTGATACCGTTAACAATCAACAATGAAAGACTGTTAAATAAACCTATTAAATTTATTTTCCAAATATAAAAGTAATTTAAAGATCACATTGATTTTTATTAAAAATTGTCAGGATCTTATTAACCTTTTTATCTTGTACTTTTAATTTAAGTTCAAATCAAATTTTATGAGAAGAAGAATCGAAATTGAATTTCAGTTAAATTAGATTATTTTTTATCTTAAAATATTATGTCAATATAAATATTATTAAGTATATTTATAGAAATATCATTATAATATATTATTATTTGAAGTAATAAAATGTTACAATACTTAAGAATTGTATAAGAATAACATTATTATTATTTTGTCAAAAACTAACATTCTTTTTTCTCTAATAAGAATAAAGATAAAAATAAACTTTTAGAAATTATTATCTGGGCTAATAATTTTATGGTGAGCTAAACGTAGCAGTTACTTTCCCCACTAAACAAAAGCTTATCCCTTCAACCTTGAACTTTAATTACCCCACCTCAAATATAATAATATTCTCTTTGATGATCGAAAAAGTTTGTGATTTCGATTTATCAACCTAGACCAATAAGACTCAAATAAACTAACATTGGATTGACCAATCAAATCCTCCATACCTAAGACAAATTTGTGGTTGGACATAGAGAAAGATTCTCATTCACGATAATAAAATAATAAAAAGAAAAGGAATCTAACAAAAGTATAGATATTTTTTAGAAGGTTTGATTGTATAGATACAGGGGAAAAGAATATTCTTCGTGTTCCCCCAAGGTAGAGGGAAGGAGAGTGAGCCATGGAAGTTGTGCCAAGCTTAGCCATGCTTGTAGTGGAGTGTACAAACGTCCTCTCAAACATTCTATTTAAAGCTGCTTCTTCCAAGGGGCTGAGCTCTAACATAGGCACTTTCTACTATTCTATCAATGGCCCTTTTAGCGTTACCAGTATTCTTAATAGCAGAACCACAGTGGAGTTCATGGAGATTGACGTCTAGTATATCACTTGTTTGAGTCCTATATACGGTAAAACTTCGGTAATCACTTGTTTCAGCATTGGAATGTCACTTATTTGTTTACGGCTGCTTATTTAGGGGCTTTTTGCACATTCGTTTAGCTCAGGTGTTCACACATGGGGCGTACGATTGAAGGGGCCTTTCTTTGTTGCAAGTTTTAGGCCAGCCTCGATCGTTATAGCTGCTATTATGGGTGCCATATTCCTCGGCGAAGCACTTTATCTTGGAAGATAAACGAGCTCTCCATATTTTTCATGGCGTCTTTAATATCTCACAACATACACCATGAAAATTTTGCAGGGAATGATAATATTGTTAAAGTGATATTATCTGATGTTGGTTAAATTTTGGAGGGAAATGACCATCCAGCTCAGTTGGTAGAGCACAAGGTTCTTAATCTTGAGGTCGTGAGATCGAGTCTTATGGAGGGTATTTCATAATTTGGAGGTTTCCTACGGAAGTTGCTGTCAACCTAATGTTGGAGGCAGTCTACTATCTTACTTCCCTTTACCCCATTACATATGGGAACAAGGGACAATCATTTTTGGTTAAATTTTGCAGTGTGATCGGAGCAGTGGTAACAACTGGTGGTCTTTATGTTGTATTATGGGGAAAAACGAAAGAAGCAGAAGAAATGAGGGATGAAGAGCCTTGTGGCTTAACTGAAGCCCCTTACGACCCTCGTCTAGTGGTAGGGTTCCTTTGCTGCAAAGCTATAAAAATTGAAGAAATGTTTTCAAATATTATATTATTATAAATAGGATTAATATAAAAATAAATGCTTAAATTATATTATTATAAATAGGTTTAATATAAAAATAAATATTCAAACTATATTATTATATTATTATGAATATGTTTAATATAAAAATAAATGCTCAAACTATACATAGAAAAATGTTTTAGTGCTTAAAGAATTTTTCGTTAAAAATAGGTGCTTAACGTTTTTTCCATTATCATTTTAGGTGCTAGGGCGTTAATCGCCGCTAAAATTCTTCGTTAAGTGACACGTGTCACGTTATGGTAATTTTGAAAAATTTTATTTAAAATAAAATATATATATTTAAAAAACATTTTTCCAATCTTAAAAAAACCCTAAACTTTTAAAATCTTAATTCTAATCCATTTAATTTTAATCCATTTGCCACCGGCGGCCACCACCAATGCCGTCAATCGGCCGAACACCTAATAACGTGTGATTGGCCAACCACCCATGACGAAAACCCACATACTTTCGCAACCAATTGAACCCCAACTCCCCCCTAAATCTATAAATTCCTAAACACAAGGAATTCAAAACCTTAAAACGGAATCTTTGATTTACACCATTTTTGGGTGTTCGATATGTTACACAAGTATGAAGATTTTGGTCGTGGGTGGTTAGTTGGTCAACATCGTTGAGTGTTCGGCCAACTAACAGTGTTGGTGGTGGTTGGAGGTGGCAAGAGGATCAAAATTAAAGTTTTAAAAATTTTGGGGTTTTTAGGATTTTAAAAAAATAAGTTTTTTTAAAAAAAATATTTTTTTATTTTTATTTTAAATAAAAATTCTCAAAATTACCAGAACATGACACTTGTTACATAATGAAAATTTTTAAACGTCTGGACACCTAAAATGATGACAGAGAAACACTAAACATCTATTTTTAATGAAAAATTCTTTAAGCACTAAAATATTTCTCGATACATAATTTAAGCACTTATTTTTATATTAAACCTTAAAAATATTATTCAATATATTTATATTATTATTTAAAATAATAAAAATTGACAACTACTTAAGAGATGTGTAAGAATGATATTACCTCGTTTTACTTATTGTTGATATTTTTTTTCTTAAATTAAACGCAGCTTCTTGCCTCCTCAAAAGCTTATACCTCCAACCTTGAATTTTAACCCAAATATTCTCTTTGATGATCCAAAAGTTTCTGATTTCGACTTATCAATTATCAATAAGACCCAAAATAAACTAATATTGGATTTTGCCCAATCAAATCCTCCATACCTCCTAGACAAACTTGTGGTTGGACATAGTGAAAGATTCTCATTGACAATAGTTAAAAAAATAAGATAATTAAATGAAATGGCACCTAACCATGATTGCCACCACTAAGCATAATATACTTCATAAAACAAAAGCAGAAGACAAACATACAGATACTTTTTCAAGGTTTGATTCTATAGATAGAGGGGGGGAAAGTCTTCGTAGAGGGAAGAAGACTGAGCCATGGAAGTTGTGCCAAGCTTAGCCATGGTTGCAGTGGTGTGTACAAACGTCCTCTCAAGCATTCTATTCAAAGCTGCTTCTTCCAAGGGGCTGAGCTCTAACATATACACTTTCTACTATTCTGTTCTAGGCACCTTTGTTTTCATCCCTTTATTCTTCTTTAGGTCTCTCTTTTCTTAATTCAATACATTTAAATCATATTCTCCTTTGAACAGTTTGGTTTTAACAGTTTATCTTCTTTGTTTAATCTGCAGAAAAACAGCTTTTCCTCCTTTGAAGTTCCCTCTCGTCTCAAGACTTTTCCTTCAAGGAATTATAGGGTATAGAAGTGTGTATAGGTATAGAGGTAAATTCGTGTAAAGCCCAGGATTTGTTGATGTTTTCTGAGACAGAGTTGTAGGAAATATATGCGGATCTAAAGGTACACAACTTGGCTCTCCAACACTTGCTTCAGCCATTAGCAACCTCGCCCCGGCTTTTACCTTCATACTTGCTGTCTCCTTCAGGTTTCTCATTCCTTCTTCCTCTGTTTATTCATATAGGAGAGATTAATCAACTATTCTCATCGATCATGTATAATTCCATTCTCTAAAATGCTACTATTAAATGCTCCTTGTCTTTGAACATTGACATGTAACAAGGATGGAAAGGGTGGAATTGAGAAGAGCAGCAACTCAGGCTAAAATCATTGGCACCATAACATCAATATCTGGTGCATTTATCATGATTTTCTTCAAAGGCCCCAAAGTTTTTTCATCTTCACCTTGGACATCATCATCATCTGTTCTACAACTTCGAAGTCCTTTGGGGTCTACTGAATCAAATTGGATCATTGGTGGCATCCTTGGAGTTGTATCAAATCTTCTTTTTTCATTCTGGTATATCATTCAGGTACAAGTATATATACATGTTTCCAAGATCCACCATGAATCCTTTAATACAACTGAAACTGAATTTTGTAGAATTTTACAGGCACAAATCATGAAGATGTATCCGGATGAGATTGTTGTAACTTTCTTGTACAACTTGTCAATGGCCCTTTTAGCTTTACCAGTATGCTTAATAGCAGAACCACAGTTGAGTTCATGGAGATTATCGTCTAGTGTATCATTTGTTTCAGTCCTATATACGGTAAAACTTCGGTAATCAATGCCGGTATTCGAATACATTATTTTCAGTATTTGAAATGTCACTTATTTGTTTACGGGCTGCTTGTTTAGGGGCTTTTTGCGCACTCGTTTAGCTCGGGTGTTCACACATGGGGTGTACGCTTGAAGGGGCCTTTGTTTGTTGCAATTTTTAGGCCAGCCTCAATCGTTATAGCTGCTATTATGGGTGCCATATTCCTTGGCGAAGCACTTTATCGTGGCTCTTCAATGTTTTTCGTGGCGTCTTAATCTCACAACTTTAGACACAGTATGATTACATGTTATAAAAATGATATTAAAACATGAAAAATTTGCAGGGAATGATATTGTTGAAGTGGTATTATCTGATGTTGGTTAAATTTTGCAGTGTGATTGGAGCAGTGATCATAACAGGTGGTCTTTATGCTGTATTATGGGGAAAAGCAAAAGAAGCAGAAGAATTGAGAGATGAAGAGCCCTGTGGCTTAAGCCCCTTACGACCCTCGTCCTGTGGTAGGGTCCCTTTGCTGCAAAGTTATAAAAATTGAAGAAATGTGAAAGGAATGTAATGGCTAATGCTTTAAGACTACCACTCCTCGCCATGAACACAAATTGGGAAGGAAAAGGATTAAACTTTATTTGGAGAATCTGATTTTGAAAATGTGAAGAAAAAAATGTAGTTTAAGATTTCAAGCGTTCAGTAATATTATCATAAAAAGAATCTTACGAAAAGTTGAAATTAACTTCTGTAGACGCTGAATGAAAAGAAGCAGCTTAACCGAGCCTTTATTGTTAGGGTTGTTGGTATAGTTGGTTAGGCAGCAGGGATTAAACGGGATCGAACAGTTAGAATTCAAATTTGATTAAAATATTCATGAAGTCTTCATGGATAAGATAGATAAGATCTAATCACATTTAGTGTCGTGATGAAAGATAAGATCTAATAAAAACTGTTGGCATGAATATAAGATAAATGCGACATGAATTGACGTAGAAATCAAATCACATGTTAAATCTGTGTATGTGTTAGCATTTTACGAAGACTTTGGTAACAACTAGAAATCTTATTATAAGTTGTGTAATTAATAGTGTGTCGTTGTTGTATAATAATAAAGAAGAATAGAAATAAGAGAATGTTGTCTAAGTCGAGAGATAAGAGAAAATATTAGTTACGAGAGCTTAGAGTAAAAACGGTTTAATGATATAATGATACTTATCAGAAAATATTTGCCGCAATCACAAGTAATATTAAACAACACCTTAATTAGTTTGTCAACGCCGACAAGTATTTACATTGAGATATTGAACAAATAAATTTTAGAATAATTGCTTAAAATGTATTTAATCAGCAAAACCACGTTGATATGAATATAATAACATATTCAATAATCATTCATCTCCTAAGCCATGGAAATATTACCAAGCTTAGCCATGGTTGCAGTGGAGTGTTCACACGTTGTCATAAGCATTCTGTTCAAAGCTGCTTCTTTGAAGGGGCTGAGCTATTACATCTTCATTGCCTACTGTTATGTTTTAGGCACTTTGATTTTCACCCTTTGTCTTCTTTAGGTCTCTTTTGAACTCTTCATTCTTCAATGTTAGGTTTGTACGCTTCATCTTCTTCGTTTAATATTTGATGTCTGCAGAAATACAGTGTTTCCTCCTTTGAAGTTCCCTCTCATCTCTAGACTTTGCCTTCTTGGGATTACAGGGTATGGCAGAATATACCCAAACAAACAAATCTGTAAATATACGTAAAACCCATGATCGGTTGACCTTTTTGAGACAGGTATTTAGGTATGATCTGCGCGTATAAAGGTATAGAAGTGGGATCTCCAACACTTGCAATAGCCATTAGCAACCTCACACCAGCTTTTACTTTCATACTTGCTGTCTCCTTCAGGTTTCTTCTTCCTTTTCCTCGTTTATGATAATGCTTGAGCTAGTTTCCTAAGCCCCTTTGTTTTCTCCCTGTCTTTGAATATTGACATAAAAATAGGATGGAAAAGGTGGAATTCAGAAGAGCAGCAACTCAAGCTAAAATCATTGGCACCATAACATCAATATTTGGTGCATTAATCATCACTTTTTACAAAGGCCCCAAAGTTTTTTCATCTTCACCTTGGATATCATCATCATCTGTTGTACAACTCCAAAGTCCTTTGCAGTCTTCTCAATCAAATTGGATTGTTGGTGGCATCCTTGAAGCTATTGCATATCTTCTTTATTCATTCTGGTATGTTATCCAGGTAAAAAGATATCAATGTTTCCAAGCTCAACCATGAATTCTTTAATATCTTACATAAAGTTATGGTGTGTTCTGAACTCAAATGTTGTACAACTTTACAGGCGCAGGTAATGAAGATATATCCAGAAGAGATTGTTGTAACTTTATTTTACAACTTGTCTGTGGCCCTTTTAGCTATACCAGTTTGCTTGATAGCACCACAGCTGAGTTCTTGGGGATTAACACATAGTATATCAGTTGTTGCAGTCCTATATTCGGTAATACATACTGATAATCGAGGCTCGTATTCGGATACCTTATTTTCAGTATTGGAACATAACTTATTTGTTAATGGCTACTTGTTTAGGGGCTTTTGGGTTCTCATTTAACTCATGTGTTCACACATGGGGTGTACGCTTGAAGGGGCCTGTGTTTGTTGCAATTTTCAGGCCGACCTCAATTGTCATAGCTGCTGTTATGAGTGGCATATTCCTTGGTGAAGCGGTTTATCTCGGAAGGTAACGAGAATTTAACAGCAATATTTTAATCGAGTGGCTATTTTATTCTTTTTAACGACGGTGACTGAGTGTTAATTTTGCAACGTGATAGGGGCAGTGATCATAACCAGTGGTCTTTATGCTGTATTATGGGGAAAAGCAAAAGAAGCAAAAGAAATGGGAGATGAAGAGCCCTGTGGCTCAAGCGGGTTAGGACCCTCGTCCGGTGGTAGGGTCCCTTTGCTCCAAAGCTATAAATGTTGAAGAAATGTGTAGGTCATACAATGGCTAGATACTTTCCCTGTTTTCCGCTACTCATTGACACAATAATTTTATGAGTTTCGTGCAGTCCTAAACCCTGTGATGCCAACAACACGTACAAAGTAAGCCCGAAACAGGGCACAACATCATGCATAAACAATAACACAACAAAGTACACTAAACAAAACAGAGACGAGAGCAGAACATTGCGTTAACTCTATTTTTGTAGTGTGTATTAAAGTGAATTTTATGCATTTATTTTTATCAATTATATTTCTTTTTCTTAATACAAAAGGATTGACCGCCACCATCCTTACCTATCATGGCATCATGCTCTTGAACTGGCTTTGTAGTCGAGTGGATATTCTTGGCTAACGGAGCCAGTACCACAGAATTCCCTTGTATGGCCATAGACACCATATTTATAGCATATTTGTTGCAGTCCCTCGGATTTTAGTTTTCGAACAAAGTCACCGATATCAATACATAGCATTCCCATAGGCTTCCATGAATAGTTGAATTCTTGATAACGAAGTCTTATATCCAATAACCCTTCCGAACAGTTTAATATTATGGTCGATCAAATTGTATTTTCAATTAGAAATATTAATAATTTTGAAACGAATCATTCTGATCAATAACAACATCACTATGAAGAAAGAAATCTTCTCTTCCTCCATCCAACTTACCCTATTTTTAACAAAATTTAATTGTGTGACGTTATAAATTATTGTCTTAAAAGTAAATTCGTCATTATTGATGTAATTGTTCGCATTGACATCGCCTCTAAAATTAGCACAATCCAATGATCGAGAAATATCACTCTAAAAAACAAGATTTATTTGAAAGAGATAAGGAGAGGTAAGAGAGAAATTACTTGGATTGTTATATATTTTAAAAGCGAAAACTTCTTTTTATAGGTTCAAATTGAGGACAAAATGATAAAAAAAATCATAAATTTGTATCAATATAATAACATATTCGATAATCATCCTTCACCTACTCCATTAGAGTAAAACAAATCATTTGTATTAATTTGTTAGTGTAATTAAATAGCACCATTGATCATAGATTGATTAATTAACAAAAAAAACAATCAAATTAAGAGTAAGAAAGATGGATTGGAAATCATTTGAGAAGTCTTGGTTTTTATCCCAAGGTAGGGGAAGAAGAGTGAGATTCCAAGAGAGTGAGCCATGGAAGTGTTACCAAGCTTAGCCATGGTTGTGGTGGAGTTTTCAAACGTCGTCATAAGCATTATATTCAAAGCTGCTTCTTTGAAAGGACTGAGCTATTACAGTTACATTGCCTACTGTTATGTTTTAGGCACCTTGGTTTTCAGTTTCACCCTTTTAGTTTTCTTCAGGTCTCTTTTGAACTCTTCATCTTCGTTTAATATTCGATATGTTTGCAGAAAAACAGTGTTTCCTCCTTTGAAGTTCCCTCTCCTCTCTGGACTCTGCCTTCTTGCGGTTACCGGGTAAGACACCCAAACAAATCTGTAAATGTATGGAAAACCCATGATTTGTTCGCCTTTTCTGAAACAGGTATTTAGGTATGATGTGTGCATATAAAGGTATAGACCTGGCCTCACCAACTCTTGCTTCTGCCATTAACAACCTCACACCAGCTTTTACCTTCATACTTGCTGTCTCCTTCAGGTTTCTTATTCATTCTTCCCTTGTTCTTTGTTATATATAAGAAACTACTATTTTAAAGATAAGATGAAAGAGATCTAAACGTTAGTATTCGAAACTAAAACCGCTAAGTATCCTTATGATTGAATTCAATGGCGAATCCAAAAATATCTTTATGCTGTATTATGGGGAAAAGCAAAAGAAGCAGAAGAAATGAGAGATGAAGAGCCCTGTGGCTTAAACCCCTTAGGATCCTCGTCTAGTGGTCGGGTTCCTTTGTTGCAAACCATAATTGGACACTAAGTTAAGGCTAAACAGCTCTATTTGGTTGACCATTCTTGGTATACAAAAAGAAGAAGAATGATATGTTATTCGGATACACGCACATGGTTGATCCTGTGTTTAATTTTTATAATGTATTTAAAAGATTTTTATAGATCCACGAGATCTTTAATTTGATGATAAAGAGAAGACGTCGGAATTACAGGATTAGGCGATTAGCTGAGCTGATCAGCTGAATTCAACTTGTAAATATAATAAGCTCAAAACATACTTTTAACCTTAATATTTATAATAAAATATGAGCAACCATGTCACATGACAAAAACAAAAAACTTGATTATTTTTATGGAGGAAACGATGCTTTTCACACCATAAACCCAATTTTCTATTGGCACTACAACCTGATATATTTAAATATTATACTCAAATCATAATAGATTATTATAAGTTCATAAAATAGCTTTCTTGAGGTCTGAAATCCAAAATATTCAAAACGTGTGATTTGTTTGCTTGGTTTGAGAGAAACTGAGAGGAAGGAAAGATGGTGTGGAGGAATTATTACAAGGATGTTGTGCCCTTCATAGCATTGGTGGCTATGGAGTTTGTCATTGCGGGGCTGCACAAGCTGTTCAAAGCAGCTACTTTGACGGGTATGAGCTACCATGTGTTTATGGTCTATGATTATGCCTTTGCTGCTCTTCTTCTTCTTCTTCTTGCTCCCTTCTTCTCTTACAGGTCCCTCCTCTATTTCTCACTGTACACGTTCCTTAGAACATGGGAACCAGAAGGTATTCTCATCATTTCTGAATTTCTTGCAGATCAAGAGTGTTTCCTCCTCTCAGATTCCCTATACTACTCAAAATTGGACTTCTCGCCGTTATAGGGTAAAACTTAAGTTCTTTCGGATGTGATGATTCAGGATTTTAGCAAATGTTTCCCATAGAAAAATTTTGCTTTTGATTTCAATTTTATGAGTTGTTATCTTTCAGATTTGTGAAACTGGATTCAGGATCTCATGTCAGCTATTCATCCACTCTTCCATCTGCCATGGCTAACCTCATGCCGGCTATTACCTTCATCCTAGCTATTCATTTTCAGGTCAGTTTTTATCCTGAAAACGTAGTAAAATAAACCATATCATTCCTGATTTTTCTTTAATTTCAAAATGTTTTTGCTTTCTGTTGCTGACTTAAAAGAATGGAGAAGCTGGTTTGGAGCAGCAGCAGCAGCAGCAGTAAGGCTAAAGTGATGGGTACCATAATATCAATCACAGGTGCATTTGTAGTGACTCTCTATAAAGGTCCAGCCATTTTCAAAGCTTCAAACCCCTCAATGTCTCTTCATCAACCTCTGAACTCATCCGGTACAAATTTGGTTTCTGGTGCTAACCCGAATTGGGTCATTGGTGGTTCTTTTTTCACTGCTCAGTTTACCCTGATTCCACTCTGGTTTATTGTCCCGGTAAGAGTTCGCGTACACACGAATTTTTCAAACATTTTCCGAACACATTCTACTTGAAAAAATGATTCATTCTTGGTGGAAATTTGAAGAGATAAAACGGATTCTATGATGCTTATGCAGACACAAATCATGGAGGAATATCCAGCAGAACTGACTGTAATTTTCTTTTACAATTTTACTGTGTGCTTCATGGCTTTGGTTGTTGCTTTAGTTGTTGAAAGAAATGCAAGTGCTTGGAGAATAGGGTCAGATATTGCACTAGTCTCGGTTGTTTGCTGGGTAAGTAAAGGTATTTTTTTATTAGTCTCGGCTCTTGAGTGATTGTAAGATAGCATCGGATGAAGGATGAGTATTTAAATGATTGTTATTGACGAATTTTCGTTATGAGAATGTAGAAATAGTGACTGCACTCTCTGTTTTAGGGAATATTCAGTTCTTGCATGAACAATACAGTCCATTCATGAACAATACTCGTCATTTTCGATTACATGCATTTCTCAATTTGATAGCATAATGACTGTATAATCATTTACGACGAGTATCAATTATGAAGAATACCAGCAACAAAGAATCTAGACTATAAAATGACGATCATACATCATGTAATGACTACTATTTAGATTGTTGGTAATTCTGGTATCTATTTGTTTTTGGGTGAACCAACTGTTATCTTAAATAATGGGGCAGTCTCATTGGAGCAACAACAATATCGATCGGTTTTTACCCAGTAATGTGGGTAAAAGTGAAAGAAGCAACACTTGAGGACAGTGGAAGTGGCAGCAGCAATAGCACCACAGTCTATTCACCATCTTCCCACAAGGTCCCCTTGCTTCAGAGCTATAAAACTGAACAAGTGTAGAAACAAATGCATGGATATGAATATGCAAAATGAATTTTCCATTTGGAAATGTCAACTATCTTCTTCAGGCTTTGGCCTCTCCCAGTTTTAGCTCATGTCAAATACATCTACCTGCAAAAGGATTTCTTGTATGATGCAAATATTGAAGTTCAAGTTGAACAGAAAACAGATTGTAAAATCAGACAATGAGCCTGCCCTCGTCTTAATATTTCAAATGATGCAATTTGTTTGATCAGATCAAATGCCATGTGTTGACAATTGCACTTTAAGAAAAATAAAATTGGGTATCAATTAACGAATTATATAACTTGGTATGATTCAAATATCGCATATAAATGACCTCTACTCGATTAATAATTATTCAAATTTTGAAGGAAAAAAAGGTACAAAATGGTTTCCTCAGCAATTCTAGTTAAAATCATGTTGTAACTCAATTATAAAAGTAGAACCAAAACCAGCAATCCATCTTCCAGATAACTAACCATGACTACACCCACAAAGAACACGCAAAACTCAATTATGTTTGGCAAATGCAATTTAAATCATGTTGTACCTTAATGAGAAACATGCAAAAATAGCACCACATGCACTACCATCTCGTGTTTCCCTTCAAACTTCGTTCAAGTCTTGAGATCATGAGACATTGGCGAAGATATACAATGTGTGGTTAGAATATCTAAAGTTGCAGCCTTTGCAGCCTTGGTATTTAGCACTACCATCTGCATGTCAAAGTTGAGAATCAGCTAAACCTAAAAATATTCATATTGTCAAGCATGCACATGTTGTGCGTGTGTGTGCATATATGAGAGAGAGAGAGAGAGAGAGAGAGAGAGAGAGAGAGAGAGAGAGTGAACCTGCTGATATTCCAGGTCAAATCTCAAATATTCATCATTGCAGTTGTCAACCATATTGGCCAGGCTCTTAAGATTCTTCACAGGTTTTCCGTTGAAAGCAAGAACCTAAGTGAAAAATTAAAAGAAAATTGTTAACATGTGTTCTTTAATATATAGATATATATTGTATACTTTACATCACCAGCAATCTCATGAAACACTCCCTGACCTGAGTATTGACAATATCCTCATATCCAATATTTATGTCAGCCACAAGCACCTGAGAATAAGGAAGAAATTGTAAGCAATATGGTCTATAATGCATGAATAATAAAGGCCAAATCATTGAGTTACATCGGACTAAAATATTCATAAACAACATCTAGGAAGGAGAAACATGAGAAACAACATAGACCTGTGAAACAACAACAAGCTGTTCATCTGCGGACTCAGCCATTGCATGTAGATGCTTATCCAATAGCTTTACTGGTGCATCAAATTCATAATCCTTCCCATACTGTAGATGAGAGAAACAGGGAAGTTAGAAGTAAACAAACCTGACCAGTGAGCACTGAAACAGCAAACCATAAAAATATAGCAGCATGCACTCATAAAGATAAAGTTCATCGTATTTGAAACAATTTAAAAGAAAATGAACGGAGCAGATTTTAGACCCCAAAAAAGGATTCTATAACTATGTGACATTGAAAGAATGTTCTATATTAGCAAGTAATAGAATATAAGACTAGATCAAAAGTTTAGCAAGTATTAAGATTCTTCCCAATTTCCGAGGAATAATGGGATTCTATAGCTACCTGGCAATATACAAAGTGTTATACTGTTAAACAAACAATAAATAAGATATATATATATAGAGAGAGAGAGAGAGACAAGTTCAAGACTAGAACAAAAATTTAGCATGAGTTGATGTTCTTTCCAAATTCTGAACAATGGTTAGGACAATTATACTTTTTTTTTGATAGAATAGGACAATTATACATTAAAAAGTACTTGAATGATTCACAAGGAATGGAGTCTCATTCCACAATTGCTACTTTAAAAAGTTCGAGAAAGAAACACACAGCAGAAAGAGAGAGAAACTGATGGCTACAAACCTCAGAACGCAAGTATGGAACAGTTACAGCAGTAAAAACAAATCCAGCAATAATGTAATAAGACGGAGGTTTCCCACTGGTGTGTGCCAGAATGAGCCTCTTGTAAGTCGCTAGTTTTATGTACCATTTAAGTATCTTTGAATCACGGAGAACTTCAACTAGTGCAGTATCCCCAGTATACTTCTGAGAAACAAGATAGCTAAAACCAATACGCTCCCCATGCCTGAATGGAACTGTTTTTTCCACGTCAAGGAATAATGAAAAACAAGAAAGAATAGGTGAGGAGACTGTTTCCCACATAATATCAGACAATAATGCCAGAACACTTGATTGAACTAAACATTAACAGACAATTTGAGTCAAACATGTGGGTCATCTAGTGGATAAAAAAAAGCAACTAAATCCCCAACTGAAAAAGCTTTCATCTTTAGGGCAAACTGCACAACTCATGATAAAACAGGGCAATGAATTGAATACCTAAAGCGATTACATGGATAAATTCATGACTTCTTTGGGTTCTATTCTGGTTTTATTTTTTAAACCCTTTTGGAACAAAATCATATAATCTGTGATAGATAAGAAAATCTCTTGCTAAAACCAATGAATTTGAAGGTCTAAAACCCTTTTAAGGCACAAAGGCATTGTTTAACAGCAAATCTACATTGAAACTACCTCCACTACAAACAAAAACTGCTGTTAGTACCTAGTTCTCATAAACGAACCACTGATTAAACTAAATAATATCTCCATAGAACATTTTCATGTGATAAACTAGCCACAGCCAAATTAAAATTCTCAGCTCAGAGCGACATCCTACATAAACATTTGCATCTAACCTTTAGCTAAAACTAAAGCAATAATCAACACATTCAGTTGTTATTTATTTATTTATTTATTATATATATATATATATATATATATATTTCTTTCTTTCTTTTTTTTTGGGGAGGAAGATCTAACTCGAAGGAGTAGTCTACTGCTGATGCAGTAATTACTAGGCAATAAACGAAATATGCATATATAGATCATACATACAAACATATATCGGTGAATGTATGAAATCCTACTAACATAGGAGACAGGGGGAGTAGCTTACCTGTTCCATCATTAGCAACTTTTACCCCATCAAAACTAAGTATAACATCGGATGGCTTCAGAAGATGAGATTCTGGAGCTGTGGGCTCAACTCTCCTAATACGGACACCCTTCTGATCTGGTTTCATCCCCATTGCCGATCGTAAATCAGGATTTTCCATCTTTTGCCACTCAACACCAAGGATTGGGAAGCCTAAAATAGAAATGATAGGAGAGGGGCAAGAATTAAAGCACAATACCAGACATAAGAGAAGTCAAAACACCTTCTAATTCCAAAATAGTACTGTGAATAATACCTGTATACGCCCCATTCTTTTCATAATCCTGAATGAAGTGCATTATAACCGGTGTCGGTATGACATACCCAATATTTTCCGCATCCTCGTGTTTCAAAGACTGGAAGGCAATACCAACACAATTACCCTTATCATTGAAGGCAGGCCCGCCAGAATTTCCAGAATTAATAGCTGCATCTATCTTCAAAACCATATTTAATTACAAATTACAATCGGTCAATAAATGTGTCAAACAAACATGTTAAACCGCTAGAAGCGGGAACTAATCTCACAACCTGTAATCCCAAAAGTTCAGTTGACCCATGAACATAAGAGAGTATCTCGATACGTGATACAACACCACTGGTAACAGAGATGGTGTCACCTCCAATGGGGTAGCCCACAACAGTTACAGCATCTTGGAGTGCAGGCAAATCTCCAAACTCAACGGGTGAAACACCTTCCCAGAACTCGTGATCACTAACTGTCAACATAGCTGCAGCATCCACAAACAAGAAATTTAATAATCAATCAACTCAAACATTTCTTCTCTTTAGTAAATAACCATCTTCATACAATTACATTACTGAAGTTTATCTTTAAAACACAAGCAGCCTGCTGTTAATATCAAAGTTAGTTACCATAAATTAAGAAAATTGGGATGAGCTATTTCCATATATACATGTATCCATACTAAAGAGTATTAGAGCTACTGAAATTCACTATAAACAACGATTTATCCTCCGCCATTTCCATACAACAGCCTCACATTGATTTCACTAAAACCAGAAGGGCAGGGGAAAAGAAAAGAACAGCACATAGCTGCTTTCTAAACACTCAAAACGATTTTCCATTAAATAAAATGCAAAGTTTAACACCCTTATCCTGTCACTCAAAACAAAAAACCAAATAGCATTTTCTACTCATTCCATGAAAGCCAAGCCACTAAACTACTTTAAAACCAAAATCAACCCCCCAAAAGATGAAAATCCCCACAAAGTCAAAACTTTTCCTTACCAATATCACATTCAGTCCCAATAGCCAAAACAGTAGCCAGGTACTTAGTATCGGATCCCCTTTTCTTCAACTTCACCTGAGTATAATGTTCCACTGAATGAGCATTTGTTAACACCCTTCTCCCTCCAATTATAAATCCACTACTACTTGAAGAATACTGCCTTTTCCTTTGCCATGGCAGCGAATAGTTTGGTTCAGTGTGAACGCAGAAGACTTTCACCACTGCATCCATAGCAGGCACTACCCTCGCCGCCACACTCTCCCATTTCGTAACTGGCTGCGGTGCCGGCTCCAATGCCATTGCTCCATTTTGATAAGGTCTCCACTCTGGGGACGCTGCCGCATGCGGCTCCGTATCCTCCTGCTGCACCGCCTCAGACTTCTTCGGTCGCCCTCGGCCCCGTCTTGCCGTTGGCGGGTTGTTTGCATCACCGTTAGCGTAGGCGTCTGATACTGCATCGTTTGCAGCGCTATATACGTCGTTTTGGGCGGCGATGGTGGTGCTCGTGTATTGGAAGTCCATGGTGTCAGTGTTTGACGCAGGGCCTTTAGGTTTCCGGCCTCGTTTTCTAGTTTCCCCCATCGGAGTTTGTTCTTAAGGGATATAGGGTTCCAAGTTAGGGTTTTTGATACGAAGACTGCTAATTTCGGGGATGAGATTCGAATGCTTTATGCCTCCCTTGAATCGGAGGCAAATAGGTATGGGAAATGAAAAGAGCTCGAGAATCTAAATGGCGAGAGTCGAAGGACCGAGAGAGAAGATAAATTTGGGCTTTCATAGGATGAAATATGGGGTTTTAAGCCCAATTTAGGGCTTTCGCTTAAACTGTGCCATGTTCAGCTTCTGATGGGCTATATAGGCCTTTTCTTTTCATCTGACATCGCTTGATGCAATTTGTCATGTTATGTTACGTGTGTTTACTGTGTCATTATAATTAAAATCATTTAATTAGTGATAATTAATCATTTAATTTTTGAAGTTTAGATTTATACAAATACAATAAAAATCATGATTAATCACTTAACCTTTACAGTGAAACTCATATAAATGTAATTTTGTCATATCTCGAAGTTGGGTAACGTCCCGAATCAGTTTAATATCTTTAGTATCAATCACTTAACCTATCAATGAAAAAATTCAAATCTCTTAATAACTAGTTGCATTAGATTACTTTGTCGGTGTACGAACAGTGATCATAATTTTAAGATTATTATCATCAAATACGATAAGTCAGTATATAAAATCTTTCTAAAACAAGAAGATGATCAAGATATATCATTACACTAATTATCCTCTCTCTTTTCACTCAATATCAGATAATTTCAATCGTTTAGAATTTTATCACAACTAACACATCAACTATTGATTGACCATCAATTGTAATTCTCTACTTAAATAAAGAAAATGAACCCTCATCAATTAACTTAATTACATTTGTTCCATGAACAAATCATAATCCTAATTAATCACCTAACTTTGACGTTATGATTTAAGAGTACATTTATTATATATTACTTTTACTTAACGATAAGCAGCTTGTAAATTTTCCCATTTTTGACGGAGTAATTTTTAGTACAGTAAATAACATAAATAAAAATAATGATATATATCCACTTAGAATGAGTCCATATACACTTTACATCTACAAGGCAACTGGCCATTAAATTTTCTGGCACTGAAAGAAAATTTCAAGGCAGGCTAAGCCTAACTTCATTAATTTTTATGATCAATACGTACCCAATTATTTAATATAGAACAACTCTTTTGGAAAACATGAGCACTGAATTTTAATATAAATAATTGAATTTTCGTCAATTAGTTACAGCAAAGAAACAATGGCTCCCAAGCTTTCTCATCATATCATCTTAGAAGCTTTGTTTCTTCTTTTTTTAATTCAAGCGTTATTTGTTAAATCTGAATCCCAATTTTCCAAATCCCTCCGTTTATTTCATGAAGCTCGTAAAGGATACACAATCGAGGGGCTTAATCATGTCAAACAATACTTGGAAGCCTTGGGCTATTATTCCATTGGTGGAAGCAATCTGACTGATGATTTCGATGACTCGTTAGAATCTGCACTTAAAGCTTATCAACAACATTATCGTCTCGAGATAACCGGAAGGATGGACTCCGATACCATGAAGAAAATGTCGATCCCTCGATGTGGAGTCCGGGATATCTTTGACTACTCAAATGATGGTGTCAAGTTTATCACGGTAGCAAACTATAGCTTTTTCGAGGGGATGCCCCGATGGAACAAGCGTCAATTGACCTACAAATTTCGCTCTAGTGCACACGTGATTAGTGTTCGACGATTAAGGCCTATCATCACTAGGGCATTGCAGAAATGGGCAGTTGTATCCGATTTCACATTTCGCGAAGTGAGGTTTTTTAGTCGATCGGACGTTGTGTTGGGATTTCACCGACGTGGCCACGGGGACAACTACCCTTTCGATGGTCCCGGAAATGTTCTGGCTCATGCTTTTGCACCACAATACGGCAAGCTTCACTTCGATGCCGATGAGAATTGGAGTAGTAATAATCTTACAAGATTTAACCAAATTGATTTAGAATCTGTATCTATTCATGAACTAGGACATATATTAGGACTCGGGCATAGTCGAGACCCAGATGCGATTATGTACGCATACTATATGCCTGGTTCTATCAAAAGGGATCTAAGCCAAGATGATATTGATGGCATACGTGCTTTGTATTCTCACTAGTAACAAAATGAGATTTAAATTATAGTAATTTATGGATCGAATCAACTGAGTTAATTTCAAATTTTATATTTCTTTAAAATTTATGAGAGAAATTTTATATTATTATTAATTTTCGTATTAAATTTGGTATTATTTGATTTAACATCAATTTAATAAAAAGTACATAAAAATTAAATTATAATGTAAATATTGACTAGGTTTATTTTGATTAACATTATTATTGATAAAATAAGTTAATGTTGTGGGATTGAATATATTTAAATATTTTATACTCGCTTATTTATAGGTAGAGGGGATCTAAATAATATAAACATTGTACCTTAAAATTATGTGTTTAAAAATTACAATAAATAAAATAATATATATTTATAATTTTATATTAGTATTTTTATTTTTTGATATTTCAATATTATTTTTATTTATACATCCTCTAATTTTCACTCCACAATTAAGTCACTCCTCTATTTTATTATTTTTATTTTTTTCAAATATAAATATCTTATTTTCTTTTCATCGTTTATTTAATTTTTTATTTTAAATATATGCTTTTGTAATAATATTTTTTATCGTAGGATTAATATCAGTAATTCATGTCATTTACATATTTAGAAGAATTTATTTTTAAAAAAAATGTTTGCAGGATTAGTGTTGGGTAAACCTTATTATACTAGTCGGGTTAAAACAATCTATGCGTCCAAACACCACCACTGAAGAAACTTCATAAGAATTCCCTGTCGCTCAAATTTTTAACAATTTCAGAGCTGATCTATAGCTTTAGGCGTTATCAAATTCCCCGATCTTTCTCTCTATCAGGTTCTTGAATTTTTTTTGTTCTTTAATTTTCGCTCAATCTGCTTTTCGTCAAATGTATTATCTAATCTTAAGCTCTGTTTTGTTATTTGTGATATAAGATTGATTTGGATCCATATGTTGTAGACTGAAGATCTTGATGTCATGAAACCATTTTCGAATTTTTGGTTCTGGGTTGTTTTGATTTGAATGGATTACTCTGTAAAATAAATTGGATTCTTTCTCAAAAAATGATCTTTCTATTGTTATGATTTATGAGATTGATTTAGACTGAAGATCTTGATGGATTGAACTATTTTTCCTATTTTTTTTATTATGGATTGTTTTGATTTGAATTCTATTATTCTATAAAAATAAGTTTTTTTTATTGATCTTTATATTGTTATGATTTTTGGTTGAAATGATCTCAAACGTTATCGTATTAAATTGCTATTGCATATACAAAAGTTTGAGAATTACTTGAAAGATTTGGATTGTGTAGATGTTATTGGTTAGTGTATATTTGATATGATTTTGGATATTGAACTTTGAAGATATAAAGGAGCTGAGTTCAAAAGATGCCTGCACAGAAAATCGAGACAGGTCATGAAGACGCTCTCCATGATGTTGCCATGGATCACTATGGAAAACGGTTGGCGACTGCTTCATCTGATACTACCATTAAGATCATTGGCATAACCAGCTCTAGTTCCCAGCAGCTTGCTGTTCTACATGGCCATAAAGGACCTGTTTGGAGGGTTGCTTGGGCGCATCCCAAGTTCGGATCAGTCCTTGCATCATGTTCTTATGATGGCCAGGTGATAATCTGGAAGGAAAATAATCAAAACGAGTGGCTGCAGGCTCATGTTTTTAATGATCACAAGTCATCTGTGAACTCCATTGCATGGGCACCCCATGAGCTTGGCCTCTGCTTGGCCTGTGGATCTTCTGATGGGAATATATCGGTCTTAACCGCTAGGGATGATGGTGGTTGGGACACCACCAGGATAGAGGAAGCTCACCCCGTGGGGGTAACCTCGGTTTCTTGGGCACCACCAACCGCGCCAGGTTCTTTCATTGGGTCAGGTCTACTGAATCCTGTTCAGAAGCTGGCCTCCGGTGGATGTGACAATACGGTCAAAGTATGGAAGCTGTATAATGGGACTTGGAAGATGGACTGCTCCCATTCCCTCCAGATGCATACCGACTGGGTGAGGGATGTTGCTTGGGCACCCAACTTGGGGCTCCCAATATCCACCATTGCAAGCGCTTCACAGGATGGGAAAGTTGTTATATGGACTTGTGGTAAAGAAGCGGAATGGAAGGGTAAGATTTTGAAAGATTTCAAGACCCCAGTTTGGAGTCTCTCGTGGTCACTGACCGGAAACTTATTGTCCGTCGCCGACGCCAATAATAGTGTCACGTTGTGGAAAGAAGCTGTTGATGGTGGTGAGTGGCAAGAAGTGAGTACTCTTGAGCCATGAAGTTAAACTTTTTTTTTATTCCTGCTTTATCTATCTACAGTCGTTTTAACATCTGGGTCTTGTCCATTTCGAGTTCTTCAGCATTTTTGTCTGAATATTCGATCGGATAGTTAGTTTTTGGCTTGGCATATGCTGAGATCAAAGAGAAAACAGTTAAATCATTTAAAAACTCCCTTCAATAAAGTTAAATTCATTGCCGTATCTTTTTAACAGTATTATATTTGGTTTTAAAGCTTCAAAATTATTACTTGCTATACAAGTATACTTTGTTTGCTCATGGTACGTGCAAGCTTCACTGTCAACTCCTTGATTGTTTTAGCTATTTTTTTCAGAGATTATTTTCAACTTGATTAGAGAAAAAAGAACATGCTTTTTTGTGAAAAAAAATAATATTTTTACTTTCTAACTTAAAAACAGATTAAAAGATTAACTCAACACAAGTAATTATATGAACAGAAAATATAGAGTTCAAAATTTATAAGAGATGCAAATCGGAAACAGAAGCTGTTTGAACTGTGGGGGAAAGAAAACATGTTAACTTGTCAATGAGAACACCAGGTAACCCCATAAAGAAAGAAAAAAAAGCTTATTGTTTTCTTCTTTTTTTCACAAAATATCATGCAAAACCCTATTTACACAATAATGGCTCATATGATCTTACAAATATGCTACATTTCCTAACCCTTCATCCTTTCTTCATGACTGGTATGACCCAATTACCACCAATCCATGAGCATATAAGAAACATGCCTTTGTTTGGCCCTTGCTGCAAGAAAAGCATGAAGGTTAGGTCATCTTTGAAATTTCCCAGAAAAGAGCTACTTGAATGGTTGTGGAGATATAAAGATTTGTGATGTCGTGTTTACCGTTTGTCAGTCTTATTGTGACGCAGATAAAAATTTATGGAACAGTTGAACTCTAGCTTGATTATTGTGTGAAGATCTGCATTGTATTGAATTTCTTCTCCGACGAAAGAAGAAATCTTCGGTGTCCATTCTGTCAACATCAAAAGAACCAAAGTAAATGTCACGTACACAAGTAATTTCTTAGTAATACACCAACCTACAAGGTATGCCAACTTCAGCGCAATAGCCCTAACAGTTTTGTCCAAAAAAGGCACCTCATAAGTTGCAGACGACGTAAACTTTATATACAATCGAACTTTAACGAACAATGAATGTGGGATTCACGGCTCTTATCTAACACCACATGACACTGTCCATATGGTCTGAAACAGCAAAGAAAGAAAGAAAAGATTAAACCAGCTACAAATAACGGCAAGCTACCTTGTATGAGTCGCAAGCTATCTTGTTCTCTAAACCGATAACCAGATCAACACCTTCCATGGCCATGCAAGTAGCAGCAGATATCAGTAAAGGAAAATCATATTAAGCACCAGATATTTAACTTTTTGTTCGATATCTTTCTTGTTACAATCATCAATAATAATACATGAAAGGCTGGCAGATCCTAGCACCAGAAAAATGAATTGTGTAAACTACGAAAAAATTGATCTTAATGTTATACTTGCGAAATGTAATAATGTTATCAGATGTTGCCTCTTTAGTGTAATTCCATGTGGCTCTTTTTTTCCAAGGAAGACAGACAGAAAATCATTGTACAACGAAGCTGAAAAATTAGGTTCCATTGAAACAGCAAAGGCTTCAGGCTTTTCGATGACATTGTCCATCATCTGAATAGACAATCGAGATGGCGAAAATGACTGCAAAAAGGAACCAAAGTAAAAAAAAAAAATTATACATGTCAACCTATGTATATCATATATGCAGATAGAAATAGTATGCCATTCATGTGCCTTATAATGTTCCCTCCTTTCTTTTTTTTTTTTAAGAAAGGGTAAAGCAAAACTTACATATGCCAACCGATATATATTATCCTCATGAATAAGGACGCGTGCGTTCTCATAATACACTGAATCCATTGTCTTCCTATGTTTCCGGGATTTTTCATACTCAAACAATTGAAGAAGCTTATCATCCATCTCATCTGTTGCAACAGCTTGAAGCTGTAACAAAAACTATAATTCAAAACAGTTGCTGGGAAAAACGAGGTGGATTATAGTGAATGACCATCAAAGAAAGCAAACCTGATTAACCAATATATATATATTAACTTGTCCAACGTAAATAACTCATATGAATGGTTTCCTATTATAGCTCGACATTCATCCTCAAACTTCGCATTGTCGGTAGATGCATCAACCATACTGTACAGCGCACTCATAAATCTGTGCAGCACAAAGATATATTTTTCACATTAGAATACGAATGCATCAGACATTCACATTGTTCAGCACTGAAATTGTTATGTAACTCACCAGGCATATAAAACTGAAGAACTGGCATCTTTTGAATTTTTCCACTTTTCAGCAGCTGCTGAATTTGTTTTCGCTGACAGTATTCTTTCATAGAGAATCTAAACAAAAATTAGAAGGTTGAAGAATACTTGTTAAAATGTAGAGAGAGAAAAAACTAAAAATCTTTAGAAATCCTAGGTACTCGATGAAGTCTGAAAAGAACGTAGAAATCATCATTTGCATAAAAAAAACCCAAGAACTGTTTCCATCTTCAGGTGAAACTTGTTGGAGTTGGAGAAAAGTAAAAAAAAAAAAAAAGGGCCCAGCCGAATTATAATTCAGTAAAGGGAGCAATTTTTCAGCAAAGGTACCGAATTCGGTGTCTAATATTTTAATTAAAATGTTTTTGGGTTAATTATTTTTTAGCTATTGTACAGTTTAGGGTATTTAAAAGATTAGTCCTT